ACCAAGGTGTCTGTGATGATATCACCTACCTGATAATGTGTGGACTCCGAAGGTGGGTATAGAATTTTACTGCGGAGAACCATCGTGTTTGAACTCTTTTCGAAAGGTACTCATAAATGCCTAGATGTAAGTAATGATTTCACCTTCTTTATGATGGAATTCGAAGGTAGGTTTATCTCAGTTAGGTTGATCTCAGTGACGCCACTAGATAGAACGATCGTGTTTGAACTCATTTGATAGGGCTCGTAACGACCTAGGTGACTACTATGATCTCAGCTTTCTGATGGTGCAGTCCGAAAGTGAGTATAGGATCTCAGTGACGCCACTAGATAGAACGATCGTGTTTGAACTCATTTGATAGGGCTCGTAAAGACCCAGTTAACTGTTATGATTTTACCATTTATCATGTCCTTTCAGTATGTAGCTGTCATGATGGTGCATGAAGGTGTACTGCAATCTGATCCATTTCTTAAAATTGTCTTAATACTTATCATGAATGAAAATATCTTTTGAAATGTTAATATTATTTTTATTATAATGATATTTATAGGAGTCATGCAATTTAATCTGTGGCACTTCTAAACTAATAATTAAAATTTAAGCCCCCCCCCCCCTTAATTAATTTTAAGTTATCATTTTGAGGTTAGTTCTACGGGATTTTCGTTTTGATTTTTCTCGTGCATTACCTTTTAATGTGAGCGGTATTATTATAATCGGGGATCAAATCTCTACCAAATAAAACACCTTACTCCCCCAAATTCCTGCTAAACGATTCTAAATTTCAACCAAATACTTTGTAACACTTGAATCTGATTTTATCATTAAATCTGTTTATAAGCATGCTGTCAGTTGCTTATTACATCTCTCAGTGTTATTATAGTAGCACTCAAATCTTATTTCTGAACAATGGTGTATGCAAAATGCCTCCTAAAACTTATTTTTATGTCTTAATTGTACACTCTTATAAATACAGTAGTTTTATTAGGTCTGTCTATGGGGGTGATATAAAACTAAATAAATAAATAACAGCCATAGTACAATTTAAAGCTGTATAAGTGATAGAATATCACCATTTTGCATACGTTGCGTGTTTATATTGTGCTTGTGAACGAAATTAATTTGTTATAAATTTGTTGAAAAGGGAAATTATTTACTCACATTTAAGAGAACACGCATCATGTCTATAATCCCGGAGGGGGTAGAGTTCAAAGTGCAGCGAGCTACTCGGACCACATTTAGCAAGAAAAGTTAAGGTTTAGAAAATTATGGAAGCATTGGAATGTTAGCACATCGCCTACTGTGAGGTACTATTACTTGAAGAACTGACGGTATTTTCAATTTCAGCCAGTTCATCATAGTGAAAGTTAGCTTATTGTTGATCCAATATTTTAAAGTTATCTATCTAATATAATATCGAATGGACTCTGTAATCATTTCCTTTTCTTTACTTTCTTTCCTTTTTAATACACGTTTTTTACAAATTATGATATCTCTCTATATGGAAACAATTTTTTTGTTTTAGTATATCTTTAACTTCCATCATATCCCACAAGAAAACACCTTTCTGATTTTACATCCATCCTATTCGAGGAAAGTATGGTACGGCCGTGCCGCTTTTTTGCTCGACTATATTAAATATATATATAAATGTCCAATTAATAATAAAATAAATGTAAAACAAATGTGAAAATATAAATGTTCATATGTAAAAACGGTGAAAATAACTATATATACTAATAATTATTCTTTAACTATCGAAATCTTATTTTATTAACTCACAGCAAAAAATTCAAGCAATTTAGATATAGATATTTAAATATGTATATTCTTTTGAATTTTATGATCAAGATACTCATTAACGGTATAAAAACAATTAAGTAAGAGCCATTCATGAAGTTTGTTTTTGAAATTTGTCATTGAGAAATTTTTAAACTCGTCGGGTAAAGACTTAAAGATTTTAATCGCCATTATGTATGAATTTTTTTAAAGAACATCAATTTTCATTTTGGAAAGTATATTCTGTTATAAGACTTTTCTCTTAAACTTCTATCTCTTAAAAAATTATTACTTGGGAAGTATTCAGGGAATTGCTTGACAAAAATCGCGGCTTGTTTTATATACATACATGCGAGTGGTAGTACTTTTATTTCTTTAAATAATGACTTGAACGATGTCATGGAATGTGCGTTGTACACGTTCTATTTCAGAACAGTTGCCCTGTATCAGAAGTCCATACTGCAATATCGATGAGACATAACCATGATAGGCTTCTAACGCTGCTTTGGCAGATTCTGTCTCTCGAATTTAGTAAAGCGCTTAAGATATCTGTTTCGTTTAAAAAAAATCACGAACCTCTAAGTTTCCTTTAATAAAATAAACAGCTCTATCATTTGAAAAATCATCTTTTATAAGTATATAATATCTTGAGCTATTTAGAGATTTCTTTTTCATAGGTCCACACAAGCCAGCATAAATAATTTGACCAGGCATCGTAGATTTTGTCATACTTGATGTACAAAATGTGCTACTTACCCTTGAAGCACTTGAAAGTAGATTAAATTGTTACGAGCTTAGGGTTCGTGACAATAAAAACTGCCGATTGAATTACCAAAATTGACATTTTAATCACCGAACAACTAAAACTAATACACACTAATAATTCATCACACTTAACACTTTATTTTGCTCCTAAGTCTTCACTTGTATCGCCAATTTAATATTAACGGCTTTAGGGTGAAGTAAGTTTGCGCAATTTCGAATAATTCGGTCATAAAAATAAAATACTCGAATTAATCATAGGTTTCTTTATTACTATTACATCGGAACTTATCTGTGAATAACCTTTGATACTAATTATTGAGCAAACATAATCACTTTTTTCTTAATTAACAAAAAAACAGAAGTCGAGAATTGCGCAACCTTACACACCCCAGTGTGTAAAAAGGTATGCGATAAGATTGCGTAGTGTTTGTTCAGGCGAATTACTTGCATAAATTATATTAAAATATCCCAAAACAAATAATAATCAGTACACTTTCCTGACACCACACCTGGCACATATCGCAAATGATCCAGTCTTCAACATTAGGCTCTACCAAGACTTCAGTGCATCGTCCACACCTCCATACCTTCTTTTTGGTAAAGCCTTTGGTTTTTAAACTCCTTTTTAGCTCCCTTTGCGTTAGTTTTGAAGTTTGGTGCGTTTTTAGTTGTCATTTGTCAAATTAAAAATTACTTAGTACTTTACTTGATAATTTTTATTTTCATTTTTATGGTGTATATAATTATTAGGCTTATTCTAATGCTAATCTATAAGGCTTAGTCTAATCACTCTATGTGGTCAACAAATCCAAGAAATTTGATGTAACCAAGATCCAGAAAATCACAACAAAAAAAAAAGAGAATATAAGTCTCGTAGCCAACGCGCTGATCTAATTTTCCCTGTTGGAAGAATACTTAGGATCCTACGTAAATGTTGTTATGAAAGACGGTATGGATGCAGCTCATCAATGTTCTTAGCAGCAGCTCTAGATTTGACCGGAGAAAATGGTAGAAGAACCTTTCCTACAATAGACGACGCTCATGATCAAGAATCTAAGATCAGTAGTAGTAGATGTGAAACCTACTGTACTACTAACGTGTAGCATAATATACTAAAATAATGTAGGTAATTTGAAACTTTAAAGTCATCATTAACTTCATGACAACAGAATACTATGTATTATATTGTATCTTCCCTCTTTTCTCTTCTTATAATCAATTTGTAACTGACTTACTGTTAATGATTATTACAACAGTGAAGGTACGTAATGATTCCTTATAAACATGTAACATAATTAACGCACTTTGAGAAGTTTCTATCATTTTTATTATAGGTAATTTTTTATAAATAATTAAAATTACGTAAATTTTTAATATTAGGAAGACTTTTAGGGTGGGTTTTATTTGTATTATTACTAATTCTGTCTTTCAATAAAAATAAGGAAAAATGAACTTATTTCAAGATAAAGTTAAAATTCTTCCGGAATTAGTATAACTAATTTGATAAATAATCAGTGCATAAAAATGTTTACAGTTTTATTATTGGGGTGTCTGTGGGAGTTATATTTTAATACGAGTACGCGAATACTACACATTTAGCAAAACTCATTGTTTACTGAATAAATCCTCGACATTTTGGTAATCTATAGCACCAACCCCGGAGATAATGCATTAAAAACTCTTTTATAAAATAGAATTTATAAAAAATGGCATGAAAGAAAATAATTTTAAAACTTTCATAATAATCGATAAAATTGTATAAGGTAGTAGAAGTAGCTTCATTAAAAATTAAAACTTCATCTTAAACAAGAAACGACAGCATTGAACATGTAACACATAATTGTAACAAATTTACGCTTTAATTCAACTACGCGTTCGTAGGCGGCTGCGAAACAAGGCCAAGTTTCGCATATGCTATGTCTCTCTCTATCACTACTATAGATTAAATAATTGCTTGCGAAATCGTCGTTCCACAGACGCAGATGTTTCGCTAGTGGTATTTCGCATTGAACGGCATCCGCATGCGTTCTGTTGGTGAGGACAGAATTTCGCACCATGGAAGCCGAAAATATTGATACCCGCAGTTCACGAAAATCACAATGACATTTCTTTGTGAAAAAACTACCGTGTACTAACGTTCAGCAGATATTTCGCTGCCGCAGTAGTTCCGCAGTGACTATCTACCGCATACGAACGCGTAGGTGTACTAAAGGCGTTAATGGAAAACTTTTTAACCAGTAAAACCTTTTTACTCGTTAAAAGTTCCTCAAAGGTGCAACGCATCTTAAATCGAGGATTAAAGTAGTAAACATCCACTTACCATCTGGTGGTCTGTGTGCACATTTGTCACCCTTACTTGTATAGAACACGTTTAAAAAGGCTTCATAACCCTTCGTATAAAAATAGTATTTGCCTGTTTGAGACTTTGGTAAATTTTAATTCAAAACATCGTAATCACACTATGTCATAGTTAATATACCGTCCGAAAGAGGGGCGTAGAGGTAGTCTTCATCCCTTTTCTTCCATTTTCCAACAAACACAATCAACAATACAATAATTATTACTAAAATAACGTTTACACTAATGCTAATTAACATGCCAGTCTTAAAATTATTATCGTCATTTTCAATTTTAGCTTTTTGTAGGGCGGTATATTCTGGTGTGTATTCTGCTTCTGCTTCATAATTTGGCGGCATAGGCATATCTAGGCCTCTGATGAAGTAGGACACCAGTTGCCTAACTTGTTCCGCCTTATCTATCGGTGCAAGATGGCCAGCGCCGCGTATTAGAGTTTCCGTAAAACCGCCTCCACTTTTAACATAGCTGTAAAAATTAACATTGTAATTAAAATTTGCAAAAATTTAAATTTGAAAATTTTAGCCTAAAGTATTGTCTCAGCACAACGACAACGATAGACAGAGCGCTCAAAAAAAAAAAAAAAGAACAATAATGTGTGCGTGATTGTGTGTCAAGAAGTTGAGCATGGTTTCGGTATTTTATTTTTTATTTTATAGAATAAGGGTGACAAACGAGCACACAGTCCACCTGATGGTAAGTGGATGCTGTGGCCCATAGACATCTACATCTATCTTCAATTATAAATCAGTGCTGATGCGTTGTCAACCTCTGAGGATTGAGATGGAATGCCTCGTTTCCAGTAAAAAAGGGTTTCCGGTTCACTACAGTCACCATACGAAACACAGCAGCATCAAGCTGCTATTTTACGCTGATATTCTGTGAGAGCGTGGTCCTACCCCGGTCAAGCCGACCCATCTGTGCTGCAACCACAATATAGATGCAGCATGGCTCTCTTCTTTTTATAGGATAGGGTAACAAACGAGCACACAGTCCACCTGAGGGTAAGTGATGGTTGCTGCGGCCCATAGACATCTACATCTTTCGTCGATTACGAATCAAAATGCAGATGCGTTGTCACGCGTGAGGACTAAGATGGAATGCCTCATTTCCAGTAAAAAGGGTCTCCGATTCTCTACATTCACCATACGAAACACAGCAGCATTAAGCTACTATTTGACGCTGGTATTCTGTGAGAGCGGTCCTTCCCCGGTCGTGCCGACCCATGCAGCATGGCTCTACCACGTAATTAGTATAATGGTATTGAAATGTACGCAGCGCTATATTTTTTTGTTGTTGTTTATCATTTGTTATTGTATATCAGTTCAATTTAATATAAGCTTTTCATTCATTCATTACAGCCTATCAAACTCCTTCGCTGAACATAGAACTTATCCATAAATTATAATAGATTGCCATGCTAGTTAGGCGTGTTTTTTTTTCGGGTTATTTTATTATTTTAAATTGTTTTCGGAGTGATGCTGTAGCACATCTCTAGTTTCAGTTTTTCTTTGTCGCTAACAACACCCACGGATTGATATGGGGTAGTGTATTTTCTTTCCAGCCAGTACACGAAAAATATGTGGAAAACCTATATAAAGTAAAGTAACAAAAAATAGCACTTTTTTGTTACTTGCATTGCGACAGATGGCGGTAAAACCATATCAAACTATTGACAGGTTTAAGTGTGAAAAGTATAGAACGTGGCGTCTGGTTCATTAATCCTCGGTCAGTCAGTCTGTCGGCTATAGAATTTAGGAACGTCTTAAGTTTCTTTTATAGAATAAGCATGAGAAATGAGCATAAAGTATGTTGACTAAGTGTGATATATTCAGCTGCTATTTTACGCAGGTATTATGTGAGAGCGTGGTCCTTCCCCGGTCGAGCCGACCCATTCGTGCTACAACTACAATATAGCTGCACGGATCTATCACGTCAATATGTGCAGCACTGTGAACTGTTTCAATATAACGAAGATGACGATCAAACACAAATAAAATATGGAGTCTTTTTCATAATTTAGTAGCTAAACAAATTGTATTTTTACCCGGCTACACTTTCGTTATACCACCAAGGCACACGTGGCGCTTTCAGAAACGATTCTCGACCGCTCCATCTCCAGTGCTGACGTCGCCACTCAGCAGCAGGGACACATGGCGCCGTGAGGTCCAACTGACCACTGAAAAAGGATATATTCTTTATAGAAGTAAGGAGAGGAAGGAACGAGCACATAGTCTAACTGTTGGTAGTGACTGTTTCGTCCACAAACATCTACAACTATTTTTAATTTATACATCAAATAGCTGGTTTCTATTATGCTTAGGGTATTGTTACGAGCTTGGGGTTGGTGACAATAAAAACTGCTGATTGAATTACCAAAATTGACACTTTAATTCCAGAACACCAATTACAACTTAAAACGCACTAATAATAACACACTTTAGTTCGCAGTTGTATCGCGTTGAAGTATTCGCTTGGATTGCCAATTCAATACTGAATTGCGGTCTACACCGGCATTACCTACATAGGGTCTCTTCTACTGAAACATCTAGAATATTCGAGTACATACCGGTCCCGACTGACTAGGTGTAGAAAGTTCTGGCATGGAAATCTCTAGAAAGGTCTTGACCCTGCTAGTTCTGCTACTCGATACTAAAAGGAGCTAGTGGTAACACGCCAATTATGGCGCGCAACGATAATATTTACGTACTATAAAGATATGAATAAACATTTTTAAAATGTTTGTTGTTTGTCTAAGGCCGTTTTCTGATTTGTCGGTGTGGGAGCCGTGCGGATTTGTTTGGTTCGGTATACGCGGTACCGAAAACTTGCCGAGCGCATATATTTTAATGTGCGTCTTCTAATTGGCGTGGTATGTGCGGGAGCGGGGAGGGATCGTTTCGTTTTACCGCGTCTCGAATCGGGATGTGTGTCCAGGCGCCTCATGACATTTACCACACACGATCGTGCAAACAAGATGGCGGAACGAGATATTCATGCCGTTTTAGTACTAGAAATTGAACATTCTCTAAACCTTGTATTTTGCATTGTTAATATTGTAGTCAACAAATTTAAAAGTTCTTCGTAAGTTTTTTTTGACATTCTATACATCAATAAAAAAATTTGTCATCTTGGGAAAGTTCTTTAGCCGCAACAAAAAGTCGGCAATTAATATTATTTTCGATATATGGATGTGGCCAATAACGATTTCTTTTTTACGTAGGCGATAAACATAATAACACGCCAAAATATCTTCATCACTCGAAGAAGACATCTTCGGTACTGCAGGATTTATACTGATAAGTGAGTAGCTGAAGGCAACGCGATATCTATGGAGTGTAGAAGTAAGGAATACAGACTGTCTATTAAAAAGTGTCCATAGAAAACCATTAAATAAGGGTGGCGCCACTATAGCTACGGACTAAATTTTAAAGAACGTGCCGAAAAATATTAGTGGGACAGACGACTTTTTCGAGGTTATATTTTTACTAAATAAAATTATTTTAGATTTTAGATCACACTTAAACCGTCGACAACTGCTAAGTTCATTTCATCCCAGTAGCTACTCCAGCGCTGTTGTGGAGAGTTCTTGATAGTTTTTGAACTGTTATTTACTGCTTACAGATGGCCACTTTTTTAACTGTTCTACTATGGGTACTCCTTACTTCTACACTCCATAGCGATATCGTTTCGGTACAGACCTTAAAGATCCCGCACTTCTCCCGCACTGACAAGTCGGAAAACGGCCTAACCATGGAGGTTAGAGAACAGGAGAACGATCGCTACGATCGTACTAAAGCATAACCCGCCTGTCCTTGAAAATTTGTAGAATTTATAGCGGCGCTGACGTCGGTGAGTAGTGGCTGCGAAGTTAGCTGTTTATGAGTACAAGTAGATGAAGTTAGTTAATTGTCTGTCTACACCGACTACATTATTACATCGGAACGGCTGAACCGATTGTGATTAAACAACAGATAGAGAAGCAATGCCAAGCCTATAGCCTTGCCATATTTCATATGTTTTATGCAGGATTATTTGTTAATTCTTTTCGTTTTGCTTTAATAAAATAAGAAATAATTTAAGAACTAAAATAAGCCCAACGAAGTCTAGATCGAGATCTAAGGCTAAATTTGTCTCACTTTCATGATTAACAAGAGTACCAGTTTACTGATAAGTCACTGTTATAGTATTGGCACCTAGAATCCGTTTCCATTAATTAGGTTGTAAGACTCTTTTTTGTGCGGGAGTCCGTCTACGTAGGCATCCTTTTACGTGTTTCTACCGCCGAACAGCATTTCGTGCAGTGCTGTGTTTCGATTTAAAGAGAGTCAGTATAATTACAGGCTGTTTTTTTACAGAATAAGGGTGACAATCGAGCACACAGTCCACCCGATGGTAAGTGGATGCTGTGGCCCATAGATATCTACATTTAACTTCGATTAATAATCAAGACGCAAATGCGTTGTCACCCCTGAGGACTAAGATGGAATATCTTGTTTCTAGTAAAAAAAGGGTCTCCGAATCTCTACACTCACCATACGAAAGACAGCAATGTTAAACTGCTATTTTAGTCGAGTAGGTAGAATCGACCCATTTGTGCTACTACCATAATATAGCTGCAGCGTGGCTCTACCACGTATGAGATGTGACTATTTGGAGCCTTCTTTATTTGTGTTTGGTTACATGTATCCATAGACTGCAACAGCATAATGTAAGCTTTGTGTCAATGGAATTTAAGAAAAAAAAGATCCACCATATAATCAAAACATTAAGGAGTGGCTAAGCCATTCTTTTGCCCTCAAGTATCAGAGTACTTGTCGTATAAACTTAAATATAATTAACTACCTACTTTATTAAGGCTGTTTTTTGTCTAGGTAACGCGGTAGCTCGAAGGTAAGCGCTTACTGTAATCCACAGTACGCGTCCAATCCGGGTACGTTCCTCGCCGGCAATTTTAAATGCCGATTTACTACGTACTCTGTGATGAAGGAAAACATCGTGAGGAAACCTTGTATATCTGCGAAATAAAATATTTCGGGACTTATAGAATTCCCCACCATGTTCTGGTGCAGGGCGGCAGACAAATTGATCCATTGCCCTCACAGAGAGAGAGAGAGAGAGAGAGAGAGAGGCCTGTACTCAGCAGTGAAAAGTAAATACGCTATAACTTTACTTTACTTATAACACTAAATGATGCATTTCATGTAAAATGTTAGCCACACTCAGCACGTTGGTCTGTTCAGAGTTGATAAGCGCATAACTCATACCTTTGCATTGGTAAAGCTGTTCTCTCAGCGTGTGAAATTTGAATCCAGCGCTTTGTTGCAATTTTCACCATTAACCTACTGCTAAAAACTCCCACTTTTGATGTACTGCATGCAGGTGAAGTTGGCGTTTCGAGAAGTTTTTTAACAGTGGTAGAGCCACGCGGCAGCTTTGCTGTTGCACGTATGGGCCGGCTCAAACCGGGGTGGTACCACGACCTCAAAAAATACCGGCGTGAAGTATTTTAAGCTCTGCTTCCGCGTTTCGTCTGGTGAGTGCAGGTGGCCCAAATCCCCCCCCCCCCATCAACATGGTAGCGGAATTAAATGATGATAGACTACCCCAGGAGGGTACCAGCACCCCTGGAGAATCCCTCGCTGAGCATCCACGACCATGTTTCTCCACTTCTGAGAGTGGGTGCTCAGGCTGCCCCGCGTATTTTGAGGAGGGGGGGGGCAACATTCCACTCAAGACTACAACTGCTCGGGGCAAACGGAGCAACAAGACCAAGGCGACCCCTGCCACGCCTTCCGTGAATTTCTGCAATATCAGGGGACTGCACTCTAACCTAAACGCCGTCCACTACCATCTCGAGACGGCGAGGCCGGCTCTGATCTTTCTGACTGAGACGCAGGTGTCCTCTCCGGCTGATGTATCGTATCTCTCCTACCCGGGGTACAAACTGGAACACTCCTTTGTGCCTCGGGCTGGAGTTTGCGTTTACGTCAGAGAGGACATCTGTTCTCGACGCCTCGGCAGACTTGAAGGTTCGGACCTGTCCACCCTTTCGCTACGCGTAGACAGCGACGACCATCCGCGCGTCTACGGGTGCCTCTATAGACTTTAACGCCCATCACGCCGAATGGCTTGGTTCACGTTTAACCGATCATGCGAGGAGATCTGTTCACGATTTTGCCTGGGCATATGGTCTGACACAACTGGTTACTTCGCCTATGCGGATTCCAGATGTGGAGGATCATGCACCTTCCTTGTTGGACCTTCTGCTGACCTCTCACCCGGACGGATATCAGATTTCCGTCGACGCCCCTTTAGGCTCCTCGGACCATTGTCTTGTCCGGAATGTGGTGCCACTCACGCTGAAATCGCAGTTGCATTCTGCAGGCTGCCGCCATGTTTGGCACTACAGGTCAGCCGATTGTGATGGGATGCGGTCTTTCTTTGCATCCTATCCTTGGGGGCGGGTTTGCTTCTCGCCGGACGATCCCAACGTTGTTGCGAATTCTGTCGCTGATGTGGTACTTCAGGGTATGGAACTTTTTATTCCTTCCTCTGTGGTGCCCATTGGAGGTTAATCTCAGCTATGGTTTGGTCGCTCCTGTAAAAAAGCATCATGCTATAAGCAGAAGTGCTACCAAGCCTGGGCTGACGCATCAGCGTCCCGGGATGTAAACACCAGCACTCTAAGAAAGAAGTATAATTCCGCTTCTAGGTCCTTCAAAAGAGTCATTGCCAAGGCAAAGTCAGAGCACATAGGCAGAATTGGCGAGAAACTAGTTCGCCTTCCTTCTGGAACCCGTGCATTCTGGTCTCACGCCAAGGCTATCCAGGGGAATTTCTGTTAGCCATCTCTTCCATCTCTGCACAGGGAGGACGACTCACTGGCCCATACCGCAAAGGAGAAAGCCGATCTTCTAAGCTCTCTCTTTGCGTCCAACTCGACTCTCGATTACGGGGGGATTACGTCGCCGACCATCCCGCGGTGTGAGTGCTCCATGCCGGAAGTGCAGTTCACACAGTGCTCGGAAGTGCAGTTCCCTGGACATCCACAAGTAGAGTGGGCCTGACGCAATCCCTCCAATTGTGCTGAGGACGTGTACTCCAGAGTTGGCACCGGTTTTAACGCGTCTTTTCCGGTACTCCTACTCCATAGGCGTAGTCTCAAAATCATGGAAGACGGCTTCGTCCACCCGATCCCTAAAAAAAGCGACCGCTCAGACCCGTGCAACTACCAGCCTATCGCCATAACCTCCTTGTTCTCCAAAACAATGGAGTCCATTGTAAACTGCCAGCTCATGAGGTACCTTGAGGATAACCAGCTGATTAGTGACCGCCAATACGGTTTTCGCCGTGGTCGATCAGCTGGTGATCTTCTGGTCTACTATGGATATTGTATACTAGGTATACTATGGATATTGCGAAGGCCTTTGATCGGGTTTGGCACAAAGCGCTTCTTTCGAAGCTAATGGCTATGGGCCTATAACTTATGGGCTTCTCGAGAAATTGTGCGATTCGATCACCAGCTTTCTTGCAAACCGGAGCATCAAGGTCGCGTGCTATTGCCAACGCTGTTTCTTCTGCATATCGATGATATGTTGCAAACCCGTAACATTCATTGCTATGCACTGGTGCTGCTCTTTACACCGGCCGAGCCAATATTTCTCGGGAAAACGTCTCCGAGTGCCGGGACAAACTTGTGTCTGAAGTCGAGTCTTTGCTGAACAGAGTCTCGGATTGGGGGCGACTAAATCTAGTCCAGTTTAACCCCCAGAAGACACAAGTTTGCGCGTTAACCGCTAAAAGCTTATTCCTCGTATCAAGGCACTCCCCTTGTTGCCTCAGCCAGTATCTGAATCCTCGGCGTCGACATATCGAGTGACCAGTTTCGTGGTCACTTGGAAGAGAAAACCAAATTGGCCTCTAAAAAGCTTGGCGTGCTCAGCAGAGCGGGACAGTATTTCATGCCGGCACACCGCCTGCAACTTTACAAGGCGCAGGTTCGGCCGCACATCGAATACTGTTCCCATCGCTGGGCTGGGGCTCCCCAGTACCAGCTCCTGCCACTTGACCGCATCCAGCGCAGAACGGCTCGAATCATCGACGAGCGAGTGCTTTCCGATCTGCGCAATTCACTGGCACTGCGAAAAGATGTTGCATCTCTTTGCATTTTCTTTCGCATATACCATGGAGAGTGCTTTGAGGAATTGTTCGGGTTAATCCCAGCCGCCAAATTTCATGAACGCACTACGCGGCAAACGTCCCGATACCATCCACACCATCTGGATGCACCTGCAATTCCCCTGGTGGTGCGGTTGATCATGGGCGGCGGTAGTCACTTAACATCAGGTGAGCCGCATGCTCGTTTGCCCCCTCTTCTATATAAAGAAAAAAGTTTTTCCATTTTAAAAAAGTGTCAGCAATTTTTCTACACTAGATATTTCTACTGTACTGTAGTCCAGTGAGTGACAGTTAGTGAGGAGGACAAACCAGGAGATGGGCAGTAGTAGTAGTCACAACTAAAAAATCAAAAAATCCAACCCGCCTGTGTGGCAACTATGGTTAATATGATATTTAAGCAATCTATAAGGGAGCGGATTTACAGCAGTGGGCTTTTGATAGGCTTTAACATAAAATACTATAATACACAATAGAATGGCTGTCAACCTTATTTTGTACGAGATTCGGCGTCGGCGGGAGCACACATACAAGCAATAACGTTGTATTATCACTACTACAAACCCGATTCTCTGTGTTGACAGACAGATTTTAATTGACATTTATACGTATGAATTGACGTGTTAGTGACATTTTAGTGGCTACACGGGCTCCGCTCACTTCACCGTTCTATTATGTATGTATTATGGTATTCTATGGGGTGAATGTTGGCATTACATGTCAGCCAAGCCTCTGCCAATGGGAGCGGAGATAAATTGATACAAGGCGAGTGATACACTCTACATGTTAGGCAAGTTTGAATGAGTGACTATACTGACATGGCCAACTAACATGTAGACACGAATTGCTAAGTGCAGGCGAGCGCCTTTGATTTGTGCAGAAAGACCGACACTGTTGCAAAGTGAGACGAGTCGCGGCGAGCGATACCGAGAGGTGGTAAGGCACGCCAAACGAATTGTATACATTGGCGCTCGCCTGCACTCGGCCAGCTAGGCGAGCGACGATGAGCAAGGAAATATAGTCTATAAGTGCCGCAGAAAAACGCCTAGCTATTGCGTTACTGATTCATCAAACACAAACCATTTAATTTTACAACGAACTATGCAGGATATAGCGGTAAGTCACAGTCGTGAAAATTTACACCATGAAATTGATTTCTACCCTCACAAAGATATTATGTATTTTATGTTTATATTATGAAATAATTAAATTCTTGCTGCCATTTATACACCCTGACTACAACAATCTTGACTGATGTAATGCGGGATGAGTTCCCCCTGCCCAGTTCGTCTTGACATACCATGTGGCAGTAAATGAAAAGTAGGAGCGTCTCCGAAAAGGTAATATATTTTTTGGTAAATGCGTATTTTTCCTACATACACATACACACATACACATACACACATACACATATAGATATACAGTTTTGTTATAATGTAATTTATCTTGCTGTTTGCTTGTTATCAAATCGTTCCAAGAATAGATGTTTGGAGATGTCTTATAGTGGATTTTTACGAGGTAATGGTATAGAAGATTTGCTCGATTTTGCTTTTTTAACTTTATTGCGTTAAAGTTAGGCTATACTTGTAATATGCTAACTATACATTTTCGACGTGTTGCGCCCGAGCTATTAATTATTACTTTTGTTCAGATATGAGCAGAAAGAGCTAAATGTTTCTTGAAGCCTTCTAGTGGTATGCTTGAGTTCCGATTTAATTTTATTAATTACATTATCCTAAGCAGATGACCGCGCAACCACACTCTCTATTAAAATTTTAATATTTTTAAATTCAATAATCTCGCGAATCCAAAGATAATGTTTTTAACGAGGATTTGTGTCTATCAAATTAGATGTAATGGCGGAATCTTTTAAATTCAGTTTTATTTAGTTTGAAACTCCGTTAATGGACGGGTGAGGCCCAGCCTATCTATCCCTAAAATTAATTCACAATTGTTGAATCCAAATTAGATTAAATTTTTAAGATGAAAAATGTGCTGACGTGGAGTAGCATTATTAGTACGAGAGATTTTTTTTGTGTTCACCCAGCGTGGTAAATATGGGCTAATCTTAAAAGTAGTGTACGGCAACTAGTGCCGATGTAAGTTGAAAATAGTTAATACTGGTGTTAATTGAATATTTTTTTGCTTTGGTGAATCTTGATTACAAATTTTGCTTTTTTATTGCATTGGTTTTTTATTGCATAATATAACAAACACGTACAGGCGAAACCGATTTGTTTTAGTAAGAAAACTTTGCGAAATCCTTCTTCAGCCTATCATATATCAATCCAATGGATTTGATACGCTAACGATTCTGATTTTATGAAGTGTAGATGAAGAGTGTAGCAAAGTGAATATAATTAAAGAAGAAGTACTCACAAGGCTCCACAATACCGTTGCCAATTCTGTGATTGATTTACGAACACAGTTCCGTGATTCCACACTATCATCCAAATAGAGTTAAGGCAGAGAGTCAATTAATGTCTAAAAAGCAAATCACTTACCAATATATCAGGACCTTACAGTGCTCCAATAAATTATTCATTGTCGGGGACATTTTAGCCAAGAAATCGGAAACCAAGTGCTTGTGGACGCTAGCGTTACTGAATGTAAACTTTATGGTGCCGACGTGTAGCGCCTCTCTCACGTTTTCTAGCATGATGTAATCCATGAAATCTTTAAGGTCTCCGTAGTTGTGCAAAATATTGTATACTTGATTCTGAGAGGTTATTTCTTGTAATTTGTCCAATAGCTGATCACGGAGCTGTAATTTTAAAAATAAATATTTAGGTACGTTTTGATTTAAAATTGTCTGTATACGTTTTGATACTTTAATATCAAATGAACTATTTATGTAACTATCTGTCATAAAGGGATATTTGCCATAGTATTCTTGACATGAATACCACTAACAGTTAAGGTAGAATGTCCTGTTGTCAGCAATTAAGCTGTCACCTTCCTCTCCCGCGCATACGTATGGTATTCTGCATTGAATACCATACGCATTCCTTTCCATTGTCGAGCCGTTTCACTTAGTTACCAGATGTTTTGTAAAACATCTGGTAACATCTTATAAGCTGCAGCTAGACTCTGTTCTTCATAAATATATCTATAGATTATTTTTTTCTATAGAATAAGGGTGACAAACGAGCACACAGCCCACCTGATGGTAAATGGATGCTGTGACATCTACCAGACATTTATCCTCGATTAAGGATCAAAACGCAAATGAGTTGTTATCCCTGAGGACTAAGATGGAATGCCTCATTTCCAGTAAAAAACTGTCTCCGGATTTCTACACCCACCATAAAAAACACAGCAGTATTAAACATAGTACTATGGACGACTATTATAAGAAAACAAAAGAAACGTACAATCACAGCAGCACTGCTATTTCCAATTTCAACAGCTTGGATGTACTGCTCCTGGAGAGGATTGGCAGCAATTACGCCCTGACTGTCGATCAGACCCCAGTGGTAAAATACTGACGTAAAATTCGCTATGCTTGCACGGTCTAACACAGGATTACCCATGACTAATCCCTGGAAAAATATATATATACATTATTTTTGGTAATTTAAAAGTACAGGCCATGGTAACATAAATAATGTAATTAGATACGTACAAGACATAGTAAGTCCGTAAACAGTAAAATAAGGTAATACCTAAGCTAAAGCTTTCATACATCACACATTTGAGCACAGATCTTGTCTTAATTCTGCGAATAACACATATGTTCGAAATATTTTTCAATTTCTCAAACATAATGTTGAGCCAAATATATTGGATGACCTTTTTTACCGTCTACAAAAACAGGGTGTAATATGTGAACGGAGTAGAAGCCTATGGCACTGATATTTTATAAAAAATAAAAACAAAGATCTTGAATTAAATAAATAAATTAATTAAAATTTATCGAAATTCAAATCATATCCACGCTACTTTACGAACGGCAATAAAACAATAAATTTAGTAGGCATCTTTGACTTTGTCACTTCACTGAGTCACAGGTTCCATGACCAAGGGCAAAGTAATTGTTAAAAAAATTTCAATCGTTTAACTCAATTTTTATTTAATTTTTGTTAAATATCAGTGCCATAGGCTTTTACTCCGTTCACATGTTACACCTATTTTTTCCAGGCGGTAAAAAAGTCATCCAATATAGCCAGTAGCTTTTCTAGAATGCCTTCGATTAAAAACATATTTTAGACATAACCTACACAGATTGTTTCCTCGACAAACAGCAGTGCGTTCAATGCTGTGTTTCGGTGTTAAAGTTATAGAGAACCAGTTAAATTACTTTTTTGAGTCATTCCATCTGCGTCCTTAAGGGAATACACATCTGTAACCTTATTTTTGTTTAAAATTGGTTGCAGGTGTTCATGGTTTTTTTTGCGCCCGAAGCAAATATGGGCAACCCTCCGGAAAGCGGGGGAGGGAGGTTGGGAATGCTCGTAGCATACCACGCAGCCGGCTGCGTGGTTATGTGGTGACTTTTACCCACTAAACCCAACCTTTTAGGAACTGGCTTAACGATCTGACTAGAGATCTCTAAGCCGTACGTATACTAACACGACCCTCCTTGGCAGAAAGGAGGGCGCAAGTGTTCATGGGCTACAGTAGCCATTAAATATAAGTTGGACTCTCAGCTCGTTTGTAGTTTTAATTAAATTTAAAAAAAAACACACACACTTTCTTATCTTAATTGATGTGGAGAGTTAAAAACAAACACATTTTTATCGTAAGAAATTAGCGTTGAATTGAATGTATAATATTCTAAATTTACCTTTAGATTATAAGGAAACATTCCTTTTTTATTCTTGTTCATTTCCTCAAGTGTTTTAATTCCAAACCCTGGTATATAATGTCCAGCATAAGATTCACCGGCGAGGTACAACGGGGCGTTTTGCAATTCAGGAAATAAAGTCACCAGCTGTACAACGGCTTTGTACAGGTGACTTGAATACTGAAATAGATGGAAGGTGGAAATAAATTATAATTTGCAGTCAATTAATGTTACAATTAATGTCTAAAGGTTACATCAGGCGCTGGTAGGATAGAACAGAGTGCCTTTGTAGTCGCGCGAACATCTATAACACTATATGTATGACTGCCTCGTTGGTCTACTAGTCGTAAACGTGTCTGCTGATTATGGGGTCCCCGGGTTCGAATCCTGGGTCGACCAAAAATCAGTTATTGAGTTTAATTCCAACAAAATTCTCAGTACCAGTCCGGAGTAAGGAGGTTGGCGGTGTTTCTCCCCTGTACCGCGGAAAGCACGTAAAGTCGTTGGTCCTACACCGCTGTTGGCATGAAGATCTTAGCGGTCAGCCGCCGTATGGGATGTGTGTCTTACCTGGAATAGTGGTGTTGGAAGTAGTGGTGCCGGGAGTAGTGGTGTTGGGAGTAGTGGTGCGGGGACTAGTGGTAACGGAGTTAGTGCATGCAATGGAGGGAGGGCGGGAGGCGCTCTTCAATCCAGGTAAGACACATCATTGTATTTAGTTAGCGGAAGGTTGCAATGTAATTAATATTTTTATTAATTCGATATTTGATTGCAAGTGAGAGTCAAGTCTACGGCGGCAGTTACGTAGACTGGCCTCAAAGCATGGACACCGATAAAATAGAGATATTTACTTCACAGTGGTTATAAATTTGAAATAAAAGGATTAAATTACTATTTCGTTTTTATGATCTTATGAAATATAAATATATCGTTATAATTCAGAGAAACGTGAGAAAGAAAACGAGAAAGTTCCAAAGAGAAAGTTTAAATTATTTGTACAAGCATTATTTGATAAGCTCAAACTATTTTAAATGCGTCGTTACTTCTTCGAAGAAACGCACCCGAGCTAAAATAAACACTTTAGTTCAAAATTATTCATTTATCATTCATCCATCATAAAACCAATCCACTGTTGAACATAGGTTTCCCCGTAGATTGCCTCATATCCACAGTTGCCACGTTTGGCAGTCAGCTTGCCAACCACAGTTTTTATTATTACTGAATTGTTATCAGGAAGATGTTGCTGCCTGTGGTGTAGCAGTAGTATAGTAGTGCCTGCCTAAATGTTTTATTATAGCTCAGTAGCGCAGTGGCTAAATGTTTGGCGGCGGCGCAGCGTATATTGAAAGTATACAACAACAGTACGCACAGGTCGGATCGCGTATAGTTTTAATTTGTTATGAGCATAACTATTTTTAGAAACTATACATGGTTATTACGCTTTTATCACGTATACTTTCCAATAAGATACGCTTAAACATTGAGCGAAAAACATACTGCACTAGCTAAAAACATACATCGAGCATAAACGCGATTGAGTTTATGTTATTGTGTGTAGATAGTATTTGTATGTTATACAAAATAACACTAATATTATAATTAAAATTATAATTACCACCTTTTCGCCTGACAATTCCGTGATAAAAATAAAAAAATGAAGGAAAATGTATTATGTAGATTATATAATATCATATCCTGACCCTTGAAGTTACTTCTGTAACAGCTCCGGCGCTGCGGTAAATGCAGCCCCTTCGCCCTTGCGTAACAAATCGCAGTCACCCATGCTCACCTGGAATTTGCTACGGCAGGCGGGGGCTGCTCTGCCTCCGCGCCTACGGCTTTACCAAAACACTCTAGGGGTAGGGCAGACAAGACTACGTGGAGTCGGGGCGTACTGGTTCAGTTTTTGAATATGTCTAGAAAATCAAAAAATCATCCGATTTCGATGATTTTTTAATACCTTCATTATTACGGCAGCTTTACGAAAAAAAAAACAAGAATAAAAAAATGAAAACTTATATTGGTTTCAAGGCTTTAAATGTTCATGAAAATGCACTCATTCACGTATAATTGTTGATAACTTTTTTTAAAAGAATCAAATGAAGTTGTTATTTTTTTCATAATCTACACAAAAAACGAACATTTAAAAAAACTAAAAAATGTTTGTTTATTAATTTTTTTTATTGAGTGTAAGATCAAGCGATGCGAGCTCGGGACTTAGGGCATCCCGACTTGGGCAGGTTAGGTTAGAAGGAGACCATCTCCTTCGAGGTTATTTATCTATAAACCACTCAGAAGTAGGAGCCCTCGACTGCGCTACGTTGAGTGGCGTGGTGTTTCCCTCCCCCAACTCTCTCCCGTAGCGCAGTCGAAGAAAGCTCGATCGACGGAGCCCCGCTTTGCGGTGCTTCTACTTCTGAGTGGTTTATAAAAAAATAACGACAAAGGAGAAGGCGGGAAGGGGAAGGCTATCCAAAAACTAAAAAGCGAGGTGACCACGATAGTATAAAATTACCAATTGTTCTGTGTCTAGATGTTTGTCCAAACGAAATTTATGTATATATAACACCTTCACGGTACGGGAGAATTTCCTAGTGTATTTTACCGTATTATTAAAAAAAAGACAAAAATACGAACCATAGCCATATTCCGAGCGAAACCATCTTGGCTGTTAGTGAAGCTGTAGCCAGCTCCGACAGGATTGTCAATAAATACCAAAGAATACTCTCGCCACCACGACGACTCACGAACTGAAAAAAAAAACATTATAAAATTATTGTTTTAAACAAGCTTAATGGTTAAAGCAGTAATTAAAAACACACCGACTGCGTTGAAAAATTTACTGGAAAGTCCTTCCCCTCTTTTTTTGTATTTGCAGATGCAATGTATAAAATTATGTAACCTATGTTGCTCCCACAATTAAGATGAATATGTTGGCACCTCGTGTTAAATTCATACATACTCAAAAATATACTGGATGACCATTTTTACCGTCTAGAAAAATAGGGTGTAACATGTGAATGGAGTAGAAGCCTATGGCACTGATATTTTACAAAAAATAAAAGATTTTTTTTTGAATTAAACACATTAATTAATTAAAATCTATCGAAATTCAAATCATATCCACCCTACTTTATAAACGGCAATAAAACAATAAATTTAGTAGGCGTCTTTGACCTTGTCACTTCGAAGGGTCACAGACTCAAGGACAAAGGGCAAAGTAAATATTGAAAAAAATTTTTTTCAAACGTTTAATTCAAAATATTTGTTTTTATTTTTTATAAAATATCAGTGCCATAGGCTTCTACTCCGTTCACATGTTATTTTTTCCAGACGGTAAAAAAGCTTATCCAGTATATGGTATATAACTCCTTCTGTGGCAGTCGGGTGTAAATTAAAAACCGTTATATCACGCGAATACCTCACACATAAGCTAAGAACAAACATTTTATATTTGAGTTGTTATCAGGAAGATGGTGCCGGCCATCTCCTGTTTCATTTGCCTGTTTCGACTCTTACGACATCCAGCGCAGCGGCAGCGGATTCTCATATTACTATACGCTTTGGATTATCTGACGCCGCCACTACACAGAAAGAATAAAGCCTCCGGTTGTCAACCTGTATGACAAGCGTTGTAATTATGGCAAATATGAGTACATATTTTCCATAATTACAACGCTTGCCAAATATGAGTAAATAAATATGAGGCAGTCTATAGGCTTATAGCTCCTTTACACGATGAGCCATCACGATGGCCCACTATGATGAGCCAGCGTGTGGCGGGCGTAGTAGTGTCGAATGGCTTATGGCGCGCTTGTGATGGTTTTGGGATGGCGTCGGTGTCGGTTTTGCGACCTCACATAAAAGGCCAGTGATAACGGTACTCATCTACACGTGGTCAATTCCACAGTTGGGCAAAGTGCTGCTTGACAGCTTGACGGTTGAGTGTGAACGGTCGTGCTTTGTTTGTTAATTTACGAATTTTCTTAAAAATGACGAATACACATTACGAAAATTCACATTAAGAAAATAACGGTACGTGCTGTATAGATATACTGCCGCAGCGGCTGATGCTTCCACGTCCATCTCGAAAAACGTTTCAATCACAACTGAATGTCGTTGTGTAGTTGCGTTTCAACCATCGCATGGCCATCTCGCTGGGCCAGCGCTGGCCCATCGTGTGGAGGAGCTATTATATTAAGTAGTGGACTTTTAAACCTTTTTAAGGAAGCCTTAAAAGTCAGGCTGGCAGGCAGGCAAAATATATAGGATGTTACTTTTATGCTATTGAACGGCTCCACGTTGACTTAGTGGTCGAAAGCGCGACTGCTGCTTAATGAGGTCTTGGGTTAAAGCGTTTTCTGAGAGATAAACTTTTTAATGTAATATAAATTGTCATGTTTGTGTACGATAGCGCAATAAATAAATATTGTATTCTACCACATAAATGATAGTACTTTTATACTGATAATTAAAGCAATTCGTGCAAAATTATTTACACTTATTATTTATTTATTTACACTTTAATGTACTAAAGGTACAAACGGCGGACTTAATGCCATATGGCATTTTCTACCAGCCAACCGGAAAGTTAGTGGGAGATGCGTGTACTGCAGTGGGCTAGAATGAAACCTAAAATTGATAAATTTCACATACACATACACCTTCACCCCCTCCACACACACACCACACACATACATACTCATAGCTCAAACCTAATTAAATATATATATAGGATCTAATAGATTAAATGTTATAGATTATTTACATATTTTTGTGTCAGATGAACCCAAATAATATTCCTTTACCTTTGTTTTAAAAATCCATTTGTTGGGGGATTCTTATTGCTAGGGGAAGCGTATTCCAGAGTCTTACAGCTGTAAAAGCGATAGAGTTTGAGAGGAAACCAGTACGGTGAGAGGGAGTATAGAGCACGAGATTGTTACGAGAGCGAAGATTGCAATCATGGGAAGAACCCAGGTATTGAAACTTACATTTCAAATACTCTGGGGCCAATGGATCGTTAAGAATAGTGAACAGAGTGCTAAGAATTCTAAGTATCCTGCATTGTGGGATATTTAACCATTTAAGTTGAGAGCGATAGAAAGAGATGTGGTCATACTTTCGAAGACCGTAAATGAAACGGATACAGTTGTTGAGAAGCCGATCCAATTTATTGACCAAGTGTTTGTCTACATCTAAGTAACAACAAGTAATCAAACATAGGAAGAATTAGCGATTGAATTAGAATTTTTTTCGTACAAGGCGGTAAGATATTTTTATATCTGTACAATTGACTCAAAGTAGTACAAACTTTACGGCTAACTTCCTCAACATGACTGCGCCAAGTAAGTGAACAATCCAAGGTTAATCCCAAGTCCCTAACATGAGAGCTGTAAGGAATTACCTTGCCATTATAGATCAGAGGATCGAACGATGTATGATTAAGTTTACCAAATTGACGTGCACTGCCTAAGACTATAGCTTGGCATTTAATTGGATTAACAGCGACCCCATACCTTCTTGACCAATTAAGAATCCAGTTAAGATCGGAGTTAATCACGGTTACAGCATTATTTATGGAGGTAGCATCGGCATGAGCATAGAGTTGCAAGTCGTCGGCATACATATGGTAGGAAGCACGAAAATTACAAGTAATCATGTTAATAAATATAGAGAAAAGTAAAGGAGAGAGAATTCCACCTTGCGGAACACCAGTGGTTAATTCACCCCAATCGGACACTATACCATCGACCCGAATCGCCTGCTGGCGACCACGAAGATAGGAGGAGACCCAATTCAGTGCTGACAAGGAAAAACCTATGTAAGATAAGATGGCGATGAGAATATCATGGTCAACGGTATTAAAGGCGTTAGAAAAATCTATTAAAACTAACACCGTCAACTTTCCAAACTCCATGCCATCACGCACATCCTCAGTTATTTTTAAAAGCGCCGTTGTGGTGCTATGTCCAGGTCGAAATCCTGATTGGTATTGATTCAGTAAGTTGCTTTTGGTTAAGTGAGTTTGTATCTGTTTGAGCGCTACAGCTTCTAAGACTTTTGATAAAAACGGCAAAATCGAGATAGGCCGGAAGTGATTGAGAGCACTGAGCATAGAGATTTTTGGAAGAGGAAGAACAAAAGCCTTCTGCCAGCATAACGGAAACTTCCCAGTAAGCAATGAGCGGTTTATAATGGAGGTTAAAATTGGTAAAATATGATCTGAAACATATGATATCATGGTTCTTCCTATGTTGTCATGACCTTTGACTTAAGTTTTTGTAATACTTTTAAAATATCCTTCTCAGTGACAGCAGAAAAAGAGAAAGAATCAGTATGCGGGGATGACATGGAAGTAATATCCGAAATAGTTTTCATTTTAATGTGAGATGGGAGACAAGCCGCCGTAGAAAAGTGAGCATTGAGATCATTTAATGAGAAAATATATGAGATTACTTGTTTTTTAGTTTTACTGAGACCATGAGAGTGAATGAACTTCCATGTCTCCGATTGCGAAGAATTAATTAGGAAGTCATGAAAATATCGGCGTTTAGCAGACCTCACCACCTGATTGCAAAAATTATTCCCTAACCATTCCAAAATATCAAAAATGCACAACGTTAATATTTAAGTTTTCACTTCTGCCGGCACTCCCGGAGTGCAACCCGTCGTTTTTTCTGTCGAGAATTTTCTCAGTAGTAGCTAGAGTCAGGAACTTGGGCGGTGTTTCACCTGCTTCTGATACCAGTGATCTCTCCCCGGTCGTGCCAGGTTACCGTGCCATCGGACTATGAGAGTGAGGCGAATAGGGAATGTACCTATTTTTGCTAATAGGCTGCGCAAAGAGGCTAGTCTCTGTTAAAAGAAGTCGCCATAACATTCTTCCTCTTGATGACATTATTATAGAAAATATTATAAGCATACTGCATATTGGATATTAATCGTTTTTGAACATATATAAAGACGTAGGTATCTCAGAAGTTGGTAAGATTTATTGTTATCTTGATAGCATTTGTGCCAGCTTGGCAGTTACAATACCATATAAGTAGGTCTCGTTGCATAAACATAGCTCCTGTAACCGGTTTGGCATTTTTGGTGTGACACTTCGAAATGATTGTTTTATTATTCCAAGAATGTCTTCAATTACGCATTTATTTCCCCATATTCTTACAATTCACTCTTAATTTAATTACCATACAGTCACAGATATATATATATATATATATACATATATATATATATATAATATATATATATATATATATATATATATATATATATATATATATATATATATATATATATATATATATGATAGGGTAGAATTATCGTCATTTATCGAAAACCACGAGATTTTATGGTATATTTCTTAGTTGGTTTCTAAGAACTTACATTCGACACATCATTCATTCTACATAGCACACTGCACTTCACTCCAAAAATTAGATAACTGGTACTAACTTTTTAACCCTAACTCCTTGTTATATTGAAAAGGTCCAATTTCGTCGAACAAGCCCGCGAGGCTACTCGCACCAGGTCCTCCTTGAAGCCAAATTATCCAAGGTGTTGTCTTTATTGGCCTATCTCGCACAGGAAAATACCAAAAGAATAAATTTGAGTTGTATGTAGCATCAACTGTAAGGAATCCAGAATAGCTGGTCACATTGAGAAATAGCGACGGGTCTACAGCAGATAGCTTTCTGGCCTCGTCAGTACGATTCTGACTGATGAAGGGGCTTAAAATTAGTGCTGGAGAAATCGCTGTCGCCAATTTATTAGTGATTATACTGAAACAAGTAAAGCAAATACAATAATTAATTGTAAATTGTTCTGACTAGCATTGGCAGACAAAATAAATAGAATAATAATATTAGAGTTTAAAAAAACCAACATTCTATTGATCATGGGCTGTGATGATCCTAACAGGAATACTAGGTTACAGTTTAGAAATTATTGTATCTACAGTCATCAGTTTTTAATGTCAACAAAATTTTCTGATTATTTTATTTATTTTATTATGTTAAGACTTCTGCTAGTAGGTGAAAGCTGAATTACAACACAAACGAATAATTTATAGCGTGTAAATAGGAGTGCTAACGTCGAGTCTAAACGTCTGTTAATGTATGTTGGTTAAGTTTTTAACACTATAATATTATTATTAGCTTGATCTGTATGTTGTGTAAATCAATGATTTTATAATTCAGTTTTAGACGTCGGAATATTCTGAAATATTATAGGCGTATCAGGAGCCGATTCGATGACAATAAACTATAATTTCACGACCTCAACCAAATATCATCCTCACTAGGGTGATCACAAGTCATAGTTCATGATCAATCGCGGTGGGTAAAGTTTAAATATTATTTACAAGCAATTACAAAAGTATTTATAAGATATTAACATTTTTAAATTGATTGATTTACCTAGTACCTACTCGTAGGTAACAATCAATGCTGAATCCTCACTAAGGCCGGTGTTCGGAGATATTCACGAGTTTAAGCTCAAACTCCATAATTTCAAAATTTTGTGAAGTATGGGTCTAGACTCATATTATTTAAATTAAAAAAAATAGTGTTATTTAAATAACAGTGTTATTTATATTAAAAAAAAAAACATAAACTTTATTTAGATGAATTTCAAGCAGTTATTTTCCTTATACCACAAGCTGAACCATTTTTGTCGTCGTTGTAACTGCACAATACGCGATATAACCTTTGAAGATGAAACGTCTATGACAAAAAGACCAATAGATACTTATATTTCGGTTTTGGTAATTTTGGCACTGAATTGAAACACATATTACTATATTCATTGCATTATTAAGAGCTTTCCATTGCTGGACTCTCCCATTATTAATAATAAACATTTATTTCTCCCACTTTTTACATAGTTACATTTGTTTCATAAATAGTTTAAGAGTTTTCAGTTGCTGTAGGAGACAGGAGCCCAAACTGGGTTACCCTGTGCTATGGGTCTCTTGGCTCCCCTCTTGGCTTTATTACACACTTTTTAAAGATAATGTACTTAGACATGAAGTGAGCGTTGCATGTGGAGATCGAATATAAGTTAAATAAATATAGGCGCGTGCGCGTGTGTGTGCGTGTGCGTGCGTGTGTGTTTCTATCTCACTACTCCACTTTTACAGTAAATTCTCTGTTTCTTCGTAATCTAATTTCATAAGGCAATCTGTTAATTTTTCTTACATTTATATTTTGTTAGTTAAAAAATTGAGTGTTGTGTATTATCGTTTCGCATACCTCATAATTTCTTCTCCTAGTTTGTAGTAAATATTTTAGTATTGGAACCTCCCCAAACAGTAATACCGTAGGTTAATATAGATTGGCACAAGGATATATAAACAGTTTTTAGCAATGTCCAGTTTGTGACATGTCTTAAGTTTTTTAAAATGTAAGTAAGTTTTCTGACCCTTTGGGTTAAATTTCTTATATATTATGTGCTTTGAATTTAAGATTGTTATTCCTAAGTATTTTATTTCTTGTGTATTTATTATATATTATACTATAGTATTAATAATATTTAAGTCCTCTATCGATCAAAATAAATAAAATTAGGCTACTGATAAAAAGTTTCACAAACAAGTTTTTTAATATTTTACAAAATACCATTTTTAGTTTTATATATGAAGAGTGTTCATGTCCTTTTCTATGTGTACATAAATACGGCTTTATTATTTACCACCTTAATCGCCATGCTTGGTGGATAGATTGGCGATCGCAGGATCGGACGTCACTAACATTTGATAATGCTAGCCGTCGCCTGTTTGTTTTGGTTTATAGCAGATGCTCATTGCGTCATCTTTCCGGAGGCACCTGCTCTCTATCTACATTTATAGATAAGTTGAGTACTGCGCCGATATGACACAAGATGGGGATCTCTGAAGGACGAATATTTATTACGTATATGAAATGTGTTTATGTTTATTGCTTTATGTTTCACTTTAAGGTTCTGTGGAATTTTATATGGATTCCAAGATAGGTCTGCCCTGTATCATAGAAAGCAGGCAGGCGACGACGGTGCTTATCGCAACTCTAGTTAATAATAAAGTAAGTCCAAACAAGTCTGTCGCATAATTTACTGTCCATTATTATCATTATTGATTGATGCAATAGTACATGTTATACGGAGTGTAACTTTTACGGAAATTATACAATTTCTTAGGGACACAGTTTTCGAAAATGCAATATTTTCTAATTCAAAGCGAATTCGTGACTATTTTGAGAGATTTTAGGTCACTAGTTTTGATTTTTATATATTACTAGTTTACCAGGCAGATGTTGTTCTGCCCTTTCCGACGGCTCTTTGTCATGTCCCATTAAAAATCCTTAAATTCGCAAAAAAATTGTCGGTCACTCATGGGCAAAAAAGTATCCTATCTCTCAAGTTGGACCAAACTGCACGCGGTGTGCAAATTTGATTAAAATCGGTTAAGTAGTTTAGGAGTCCATCGCGGACAAACAACGTGACACGTAATTTATATATATTAAGATAAAAAGATTCAGATTATTTTATCTTTGTCTTCAGAGGTCAACGCAGCTGTAAATTTCTTTGTTTTCTTTGATTTAACCTAGGTAATTAAAATTTCTTTCGACAATTTTGTTTTTAACAAATACATATTTCATTTTTAACAAATATTTCATTTTTAAGAAATAATCGTAAATACACAAATCGGTACAACCGGAACCTGCAGAATAAATATTGATATTGGTAGGTTAGCCAAGGTAACATTTATGATTAAAATCAGAGGTAGGCTCGGATACAATGTCAGACACAAGATCAACTACAAAACTACTTCACAACAAATATTCGGTACCTACCTAAATTATAAATAATAATTAATAGCCGATTCTTAACGTGGTAGCTCAGGAGCTAAACGCTCGCCAAATTTCACAGTACGCGAGCAGCACGGCTTCAATCCCCGCCTGCATCAATTAAATTGTTAATAACTAATTTAAGTGATGATTTAGCATAATATGCTCAGCGGTGAAAGGAATCCCCGTGAGGAAACCTCAACGTCTGAGGAATAAAATACTATACATCTGAAGTCCTACAACATGCAGTTGAGGAGTGAAGTTTTTTTTATAAAGGTGAGATTCTTAAACGTAGCAAATTTTTTGTGCAAACGTTTGTTTCGGAAATCATTGAAGTCATTACCGTATTTATTTTATTTATTCTGTTTTTTATTAGTTTCAGTGTTTTTGTATAAAATTATTGTTTTGTAGTTATGGTTTCTGGGGTGGGGGCGGCCCATTTGGCCACCCCCTATATATGTCAATGATTAAAGTAAAAGTTTAGCTTGTTATTTAACATGTCTCATTTTACTACGTAGGTATTCGTTCTACTTTACCTGTCCTTACTATTTCCTCGTAGTCAATGACACTATAAAACATGATGAAAGAATTTAAAAACTAAAACAGGAATTTGATAAAAGGTAAATAGTGACGGTAGATGGGGTATACCAGTCACAGTTCACGGCTGTACACCGGTCGTTCATTTCTAAGAAAGAAAGGACTCCTTTGACATGTACTCGAACCTTTTTTAATTTTTTTAGAAATTTAAAAAAAACTGCATATTTTTTTATGTAATAAACGTATTATAGTAATAAACGTATATTGCACCAATATATAATATGAGTAAGCTCTTACCTTAAAACTAGACAAAGCTGTATAAAGGCAGTCATCTTTAATATACATCCATTCTATAACACGCAATCAAAAGTTTGTGAACACAAAAAGTTATGCTTGTTTTATTATTGTACACAGTTTCGTACTACTTAATATACGGATTACCGACTGACTGGTGACTGGCTGACTGGTTACTGTGAACAAAACCAGAATCATGTCCAATTGGAATTCAGTGTATACATTGCCATGACTTCTTTAGCTACCGAATGCAGATAAAGCAATCACAATGGCGAAACATTATTATTATTTTTAATTAATTCTGACCGTTTTTTGTATCGTGAAAATACATAATTTAATATATACATAATGATTTAATGAATTACAGCGCTATTTTAGTATCTTATCGCAAATATTCTCATTATAAAACAGTTGCAATAAATTTAAACATGGCTACATTTTATATGACTCATGCTTGCTCACTCACGAATGCGAAATAAGACATTTTATAGAGCAATGCACTTTATCATTCTAGTTTTAAAATGCAGTCGTAAACATGTTACAGAGGTTTCAGTGCATTATAGGTAAAAGTAGTAGTAGTAGGTGTAGGTTAAAGTGCATTATATTTTAATAACTTTCGTTAAAGTGAACATTCATTTGTTGTTGTGCGTGATTAAAATATTTTTATATCTGAAGGTCAATCCTAAAATCGTTATGTGCCAGCTGTCTTAAGTAGTATAACGGTATAACCTCCGTCAATTTTAAAGCCTCACAATGAAACTGAATTTATTTAAGAGATGTAGGTACGCTGATGATTCATTCGGAAAAAGTACATACATAATTTTTCTTAAAGCAGGGTTTCAAAAACTGGAAAGCTCAGATTGTAGATCTTAATTGCATAGGTAGCTTAGTTTTAATGAAATTGCTGCACAAATATTATTTCTCCACTCAGAACATAGTACCTAAATGGCATTCGTAAAGGTAAATTAAATTATCTTAATATGTAAATGGTTTTGACCTATACAGCAAATGAAATTGAAGAATTAATGAATTTCATTCATGAATTTGACATTCGTTAAATCTATTATTATCATCATGATGAATATTTTAACGTAAATAAAATTAGTAAAGACACAAAAATGTAACAAAAAGGTAAGAAATACCTCAACGGAGAACCAGGACGAAGTGATTTCTTCGTAGGCACTTACATCTTTGTTTTATTTTTCGATTATAAGCGGCCTTAAATTAGCCATTGCTCTGTGAATCATTGTCCCTGACCGATAAACTGTGGCTGCAACCTTTTGAGAGTTCACGGTTTATTTGTAATTATTTATAATTTGTTTTTCTGCAAAAATAATTATTTTTTAAAATGACATATCATAATTTTTAAGGTTTTCTTTACTTACGTTAAACCTTTAGATTTGCATTATTTTAGTCCAACTCAGTTTTTATCATGTATTTACTCTAAACTTGACTGCCTCGTTGGTCTAGTGGTTGTAGTATTTCGATTCCCGGTAGAGCCGGTCGGGACAAAAAAAACAATTATTGAGTTTTTCCGTCAAGAACTTCTCATTAGCTGCCCGGAGTCATGAAGTTAGCGGTGTCACACCTGTGCCTCGGAAAGCAGGTAAAGCCGTTGGTCCTGCGCCAGATCTCTCTTCGGTCGTGTCGGTTTATCGTCCCATTGGATTCTGAGAGTACACCTGTGCTTTTTTATAGGAGAGGGGGCAAACGAGCATACGGCTCACCTAATGGTAAGTGAATACCGCCGCCCATGAACAGCTGCAACACCAGGGCGATTGCAGATGCGTTACCGGCCTTTTGAAAAGGAATTGGCTCTTTTCTTGAAGGTACCTAAGTCGTATCGGTCCGGAAAAATCTCTGGTAGTAGTTGATTCCACAAGGAAGTTGTGCGAAGAAAACTTCTTTTAAATCGCACGGTGGTGGACCGCTAGTCATCCAGATGGTATGGTGAAACTGTGCGTACCCCGTGGTAGATGCGATAAAATACGCAAAGAGATGCAACATCTCTGTGCAGTGCCAGTGAGTCAAGCCGATCGGAAAGAACTCGGTCGCCGACGATTTCAACTGCTCTGCGCTGGATGCGATCAAATGGAAGGAGCTGCCACTGGGAAGCCCCAGCCCAGTGATGGGAACAGTATTCCAGTGAGGCCGAACCAGCGCCTTGTAAAGTTGCAGGCGGTGAGCCGGCATGAAATACTGTCCCGCTCTGCTGAGCACGCCAAGCTTTTTAGAGGCCAATTTGGCCTTGTCTTCCAAGTGACCCTGAAACTGCACACCACTCGATATTTCGACGCCGAGGACTGGGGATTAAACCGGACTAGATTTAGTCGCCCCCAATCCGAGATTTTGTTCAACAAAGTCTCGACTTCAGACACAAGTTTGTCGCGGTACACGCCGACGTTTTCCCGAGAAATATTGGCACGTCCGGTGTATAAAGCATCACCAGTACTGACGTCCGCATAGCAATGAATGCTACCGATTGGCAACATGTCATTGATATGCAGAAGAAAAAGCGTTGGTGATAGCATGCAGCCTTGTGGAACACCAGCGTTAATGGGCTTGTAATCGGAGCATGCACCGTCTGCTACGATCAGCAAGAAAACTGGTGATCTAAACTTCGTAAGAAGCGCTTTGTGCCAAACCCGATTTAAGGCCTTCGCTATGGCCAAACTTCGCCAATTTATGAATTAGGTAACCTAGAACATCACCAGCCGAGCGACCGCGACGGAAACCGTAATGGCGGTCACTAATCAGCTAGTGATCCTCAAAGTACTGCATGAGCTGGCTGTTAATAGTAGATTCCATTATTTTTGAGAACAAGGAGGTGATGGCGATAGGCCTATAGTTGGACGGATCAGAGCGGTTAACTTTTTTAGGGATCGAGTGCACGAAGGCTGTCTTCCATGATTTCGGGACTACGCCTAGTGAGTAGGAGTACCGGAAAAGACGCGTTAAAACCGGTGCCAACTCCGGAGCACACGTCTTAAGCACAATAGGAGGGACACCATCAGGCCTACTCGTCTTGTTGATGTCCAGGGAGAGGAGTACTCTGCGCACCGAGCGTTGCGTTAACAGCACATTCTGCATGGAGCACTCACACTGCGGGATGGTCGGCGGTGTGTTCCCCCCGTCATCAAGAGTCGAATTGGACGCAAAGAGAGAGCCAACACACTCCTGTTTATGATGTAATGCAATTTTCCAAGAGCGACCAAACCAAGACTAGGTTCTGCTTCCGATAGGTACCACAGATGATGGAATAAATAGTTACATTTCCTGTAGGAACACATCAGCGACAGAATCAGCAACCACGCTGGGATCATCCGGTGAGAAGCAAACCAGCCTCCGAGGGTAGGATGCAAAAAAGATCGCTAGGCGATCGATAGGTGAGGTAACCAGTTGTGTCAGACCATATGCCAAAGCAGTCATAAACAGATCTACCAGCATGATTGGTTAAACGAGAACCAAGCCATTCAGCATGGTGCGCGTTAAAATCAACAAGTATCACGATCTCTGTGGATGGGACCTGTTGTAGCACGGAGTCTGCAGCCGTCTGGACGTGGTTGATCAGTCGGTCTGTGTCGGCATTACCGTTATGGGTCCTATATAAGGCACCCGTAGACGCGGGGATGGTCGTCGCTGTCTACGCGTAGCCATAAGATGGACAGGTCCGGATCTTTAAGGCTGCCGAGGTGTCGCAAACAGATGCCCTCTGACGTACACGCAAACTCCAGCCTGGGGCACAAAAGAGTGTTCTAATCTGTACCCCGGGTAGGAGAGATATGAAGTGTCAGCCGGAGAGGACACCTGTGTGTCTGTTAGAAAGAGCAGAGCTGGCTTCGCCGTTCCCAGATGGTAGTAGACGGCGTTAAGGTTTGAATGAAGTCTCCTGACGTTGCAGAAATCCACGGATAGCGTGGCAGGGGGTGCCTTTGACTCATTGCTCCGTTTGCCCCGAGCAGGTTTAGTCTCGAGCGGAATTTCGCCCCCCCCCCCCTTCCTTAGAATACGAGGGGCAGCCTGAGCACCCACGCTCAGAAAGAGTAGGGGAGTTTGGGTGTGGATGCTCAGCGAGGGATTCTCCGTCACCTGAGTTTCTGGTACCCTCCTGGGATAGTGTTATATTTAACTCCTCTACCATGTTAAGGGGGGGGGGGGGGGGATTGCGCCTCCGGCAAACTGCACTCACCAGACGAAATGCAGAAGCAAAGCTTATACTTCACGCCGGTCTTCTGTGAGGTGGTGGTACCCCTGTTTGAGCCGGCCCATACGTGCAACAGCAAAGGCTGTTGCGTGGCTCTACCACTGTTAAAGCTTGCGCATATACTTGGGCAATAGCGCCAGGATTATAATCTTGTCCTGCGTCGATGGCTAGTCTACATTGAAGCTAGCCGCCATGACCTAAATTCGGTCTGAAGGACTATATTTTTAATTTAAAGGGATGCGAAATATTTCAATTTTACCTGTATAGTCGCTCTGGTAAAACAAAAGATAAATAACTTTTTTTATAATTATAATAAATTCATAATTTTTAACTAGTCTAAACCAGTACTTGACTACTGTCTCACCTGATGGACTTAGCTTAACAAAAACCTATTTATTCTTGCCTTGATGACACCGACATTGTAATTGGATGGAAAAATAGATGCAGGCTTAGAGTATATATTTTAAGTGATTATAATCTAAGGATGCAGACAGCTTTTTCCACCCCTTATTCTACTTGTTGCACGCATGACAACGATGAAGAAAATCGAATGAAAGCAGTTCGAATAAGTCGACAATGAAAGGGTCAAGACTGGCCGAGCGTCTGGTTGTCCGATAGTGGAAAGCTGAGGGAGGAATTAAGTTATACAAATACTGCGCACTTTCTCCATCTGTCTGTGTTCGAAACTGGTATGATTCGGGTCACCATTGTGTCTCTTAGCACGCCTATTCATTGAATCCAAAGCTGCTAGGTTGCATTTTGCAGCACCGGCTCACATATGGTAGGAAAGTGAAACACCACCAACATTCTGACTATGGGCTGCAACTGAGAATTTCTTGACAGAAAAGCCCAACAAAGAAATTTGACCCGATTCAGGATTTGAAGCCGTAATCACACAACCAGCAGTTGCGCTTACGACCATCTATCGGTGGTCATAAAATCTTACCGCCACTTCCCATTCTCATTTTCTTGAGAAGTACAAAAGAAAAAGTAGAATAAAACCAATTTTATTAAAAGGACTCATTTCTACATTATTTGTACCAGTAAGTATAACAAGACTTCAAAAAATTTATTTCAAAAACTTTTGATAAAGATAAAGATAGATTTTTATACATTATAAAACTGTATCTATTTATCGACCGAAAAAACGTATAAACTTACTTAGCCACCCGCACCTTATGGTCACACTAGTACCATATTCATATCATTACGCTATTTTAAACAAGGGCTTGAGTGGAGCTTCTCTTACGATATCCACGCGATGACAATAAATTTATTTAATTTTATTAAATATCTTAGCCAGATAAAATAAAACAAGATAAACAAACAACTTCGTTTATTGTATCTTATAAGTTATCTTACAATAAAAATGTGTTAAAGGTATGGCAACATAGAATTGTTTTTGATAAAGTCACCTATGAAAGTCCCTTCTAGGATGGGAAAACTTATGCTAAGTGTCTTATTATGAGTCCAGCGAGTGACTAAATCTTTGGCTGGACCTGGAACGTCAAGTGGAACCATGTGACCTGCACCGAGGAACACGACTTCAGTCAGACCGCCACCAGTTTTGTGATAACTGTTGAAAAAAATCAGACTTATAATTTTTTTTTTTTTTGGAATAAAAATGGAGTTTACCATTTTTATATACCGGATCCTAAAATGGCAATTCATGCGACCACAACGCAATGCAAAAATTTGTTATAAATATGCAATTTAAATATCAGAACTTCAGTAGATTGTTTTTTATGGAAGAGGGGGCAAACGATAGCTTCGTGGCGCAGTGGCTTAGCAGTGAATCTCAGCTAGGCATGGCTATCTAAGATCGATTAACAGAAGAATCGATTTTTTGTCCAAAAAGATCGATTTATAAATCGATATTTGGGACTGAATCGACCCAGTGAATCGATATTTCAACGTAGAAATCGAGATTCGATTTTTTCTGTTTTGACAAGAACCATAAAATTATTTACAAATAGCTGAGTGTACCCAAACACGTAAAAATATTGTAGTTTTTCACTTAATTATTCGAAAACTCGCGAAATGGCTGTGTGCTCAGTGCTTTTTCACCTCTTCTTAATGGTTTAAATAATTAAAAACAAGTTCCATTTGTAATTTGGGCTTTCTTGTATTTTATTAGTAGTGTAAATATAAATTCGAAAAGTAAATAAAAAAATATAAAGAATTGCCATGCCTAGTCCTAGTCTCAATGCCAAGAGCTGCGTGGCGAATCCCGCACGGAACTTCATTTTTTTGTATAACACTAGGCACTACGATATACAAAAAAAAAAAAATAAAGTTCTAAAAAGTAATTTGATTGACAAACTATTAATAATAAAGGATATTGCTTGGTTACTTTAGTTTACTACTACTACTACTAACTTGGTCAGACCAAGTTTATTCAACTTAATATCAATCGGGCGCAGTTTTAAATTTAAAAAAATTACCCGGCACGTTTATTCCTGTACATGTAGGGTAAGCGTGGTGCTTTGATGAACTTATCAGTTCCGTTCCATTTCCACGTACGATAGTTTTCTGATGTGGTAACACATGGCATCATTAGGTCTAGTTGGCCGCTGAAAAATAAATTAAGACTCTATAATCAAGCAATAATAACGTTTTAGAAATAGCAGTAAAACTTTACTGTTTCGTATGACCGTATGCATTCTATACGTTACAAAAAATTCTAAACGTGGTAGAGCCACACACTGCAGCTATACTATGGCTGGAGCAGGAACAGAATATCAAATCAAATCAAAATACATTGTTACCCCTGAGGACTAAGATGGAATGCCTCGTTTCCAGTAAAAGGGGTCTCCGATTCTTTACGCTCACCATAAGAAATACACCAGCATTAAGCTCTTTTACGCTAATATTCTGTGAAAGCGTGGTTTTACCTCGATCGAGCCGACCCATTCGTTTTATACATAATAATATGATATCTGCAGCTTGCATGGCGGTTGTAGCTGATTTAATTACCAAAAACCAAGATGTAGTTGGCGCTATATCTAATAAATAGTTGTTTTAAGTTTGAAAGAACAAATAGATTTTTAACAGGAGTGTGTGTCATAGCGAACGTTTTTATGCATGCATGCATGCAGTTGCATGCATGACACACAGTTCGGGTTTAGACCAGGACTATCAACGAAAAGTGCTATTTTAAGTCTGAAGCACACCGTTCGATACTACGTAGATCGTGGTACGCCGGTGTATGCTTGTTTCCTTGATCTTTCCAGGGCATTTGATCTCGTCTCATATGACGTGCTCTGGAGGAAGGTAGAGGACAGGGGTGTACCGTCAGAGATATGTGTACTGATCAAATATTGGTACAGTAAACAAATAAATCATTTGAAATGGGACGATAGTGTACCGTATAGGTTGGAATGCGGGGTAAGAAGGCAGGGGGGGAGGATCTAACGTCTCCCAGATTATTCAATCAATATATAGATGCTCTCATAGGTGAGCTCAGCAGCAATCGTGTCGGATACAGTATTGGTGGGGTTAGTATTAACAACATCAGCTGTGCAGATGACATGGTGCTGCTGAGATTGTCGGTGAGGGCAGTAAGAGAGTTACTGAAGGTGTGTGAAGCCTACGGTGAGTCGCATGGTTTGGCATATAATGTCAAAAAATGTGAGTATATTGTCTTTAAGGTCATGGGCAAGCCTAGGACTGATGAACCTGACCTGTTCTTGAATGGGTCAAAAATTAAAAAAGTGACGTCCTTCAAATATCTAGGTCATTTCCTTGCCGATGACCTGAAAGACAATGTAGATTTTGAGAGGGAACGCAGGGCTCTAGCGGTCAGGAGTAATGGCCCGTAGATTTGCTCGATGTACGGACCTAGTTAAAATTACTCTATTTAAGGCATACTGCCAGAGTCTGTATACGACAATCTATGGGTCAATTACACTAAAAGGTCGCTGGATGTCCGGCGTGTTCAGTACAATAACGCTTTCAGAATATTGTTGGGACTGCCTCGCTACTGTAGTGCGTCGGAGATGTTTGCGCAAGCTCGCACGGACGGCTTTCATATGATAATACGCAAGAAAACAGCTTCGCTGCTATGAAGGGTGAGAGACGAGGCACTTTGAAAACCGTAGCGGAGAACTATAATCCTCCGATTTTGAAAAAGTTTGTCCATAAACTATTGTTAGTAAACATTAATATGTTTACTAACAATAGTTTATAAGTCATTTGTTACTAACATTACTAAGGATTAATTTTGGTCCGAAATAAAGATTATTATTATAGCAAACGAGCACACAGTCCGCTAATGGTAAGTGGACGGTACAGCCCGTGTGCACCCTATATTATAGGTTAAGAATAAAAATGCAGGTGCAATGTCGCCCCAGAGGACCCAGATGGAATGCTGCGTCATTACAAAAAAGGATGATACAGCATTATGACTTGCAATTGCATCACCCCATAACAGAACTCCAATATCTCCCACTCCATTCGTGAAAATCCGCTAATTAAAGTCGTTGTGTGTACTTACATAAATTAAAATTATAAATACATATATCGCATACATTGTAACCCTGCGCCCTCTTTTCCCAAAAGAGGGTCGCTCATGATAAGGCACAATACAGCTTAATCAGCCGGCTGCCTGTCCCCAAAGGCGGTTTTTAGAGGGTATCACTTAGGGTCCCCGGTAGGACAGTGAGCCCCTCATAACCACGATAGACCGGCTATCGTGGTATGCGTAATGCATTTTCCGCCTCCCTACGTATAGGGTAGCCCTTTAATTGCTTCGGGCGCAAAAAAAAAAAAACATTGTACTCGCAAGACATAAGCAACCATTTTTATTGAAAGAAGTTCAAATTGATTTTAAACATTCATAATACTAAAACTTCTCCGTGCTCTGGCACCGTGGCACATTTGCTTGACATTGGGTTCGAATCCCGAAAAAAAAATAGTACTTATTTGTACAACCTACAAATAATTGTTCTGGGTCTCAATGTTTGTGCTTGTACAATAAAGTATGCTAAGAGAAATTTTAGTGTGTGTAATTATTTTTTTAATTGTATTTTTCAAATTGATTTTAAACTTACTAAACTTCTCCGGTGGATGCTTAATTGGGGAAGAAAAAAAATAGTACTTATTTGTACAACCTACAAATAATTGTTCTGGGTCTCAATGTTTGTGCTTGTACAATAAAGTATGCTAAGAGAAAATTTTAGTGTGTGGTAATTATTTTTTTAATTGTATTTAGGTTACCTCGGTCACAGTATAAATATGGAACAGTATGGAAACTATGTACCTACAAAAGCTCAAAACGGCACACTCACACAAACACGCACAACTACGAGACTCCTAAGCGAACGTCGCGGTAATCTCAGTAGTGAGTGTCGCGTCAAGATGATTGGTTACGTTAATCTGCAGGATCTTTTTAAAAATGCCACGAACGTATTGCATAGTATACGGCTGTTTGAACAAAACCGGAGCTATCGTATTTTAAACTTCCTGCTGATTTTGAAAGGTAAGAATTATTTATTGTTATTGTAATAATTCTTATTGAATTATAAGTACGTGTGATCGATCATAATGAATTCGTGAACTTATACAATAGTGGTAACAAAAAGCAAATCCAAGATGGCGGCTGCAATAATTATCAACCGTTACAAAATGGGTGTCATTTTCATGGTTTTTCGAGAATGTTGAAGCCGATGGTACTGTCAAAACGTGAATCCAAGATGGCGGCTGATACAGGTATAAATTTTTTTCATGGGTGTCGTTTTTATGGTTTTCGAGGGTGTTGAACTGTTGAAGCCAATAATACTATAAAAACGTGAATCAAAGATGGCGGCTGCAATATGTATCAATTTTTTCATCATGGATGTTATTTTCATGGTTTTTGGGGTGTTAAAGCTGTAGAAATGTAAATCCAAGACGGCGGTTGCAATAGGTATGTTTTTACATAATGATTTCTTATATTTACGCGAACACTATACATTGATTAAAACTACTTTTACAGATTTTATCACGTTTTATTTATTTTTAATACCCGACGTTTCATGGGTGCTGGAAAGCACCCGAAACGTCGGGTATTAAAAATAAATAAAACGCGATAAAATCCGTAAAAGTAGTATTAATCAAGACATGTTTTTATTTGTGTACGGTCAGTACAGCAGCATTAGCTGATATTTCACGCCGTTATTATGTGGGTGCGGCTCTTTGCCAGTCGAGCTGGTTTATTTGTGCTACATCCAAAGTAAAGTGGAATAAAAACCACATAGTACAGACGCTATTATATAAAAAAAAAAATGATGACCCAATTTATAACTTAAATATATCTTACCAATATGCTAACACTCTGTAATGTTCAAGCAACGTTTCGAAGTGTCCCTTTCCGCTGCTCAAAAAGTCCAAGGCGAGGTGAGCGTGGACTGTCATATTCACGAAGCCGAACTTGGTGTTGCGAACGTGTATCGCCTTCTGGATTTCCGGCTTGTTCATGTAGGGCACATATTTTCCCAGCTTCAGGTCGTTTTGCAAGAAGTTGTAGGCGTGGGACTGGTGCGTCAACACTAATAGCAGACTTATGAGGTTCAACCATTTCTAGAATGGATTGCAGAAATTATTATTATTACTTTTACTAGGTGGTAGGATTTGTATTCTGTCTAGGAACTATCTACTTAGTTACTACACTCTTACCTATCTCTCCTGCCAAATAAATATACTTACAGGGCTGTGTTCGATATAGTAAGGTACGTGCCGCCCTATAAAACCAAAACTAGTAGAAGGATAGAGACAAAAACACCAAGTCGTATACTATAACTATTATATAAAGAAAAAAAAATACCAAACTAGCTTTGGCAATAATTAGGAACACTTCGAAAAATCTACTAAAAAAAACTCACCATACTACAACATAATAAAATATTGACTATAATGTCAACTGTCAAAATGACGTCGAAAAGCATCGCACTTTTGAACATTATTATTTGATTGACCGATCAAGAGCCATCTATGCATACAAGGCTGTAGTGTTTGAGTTACAAAAAAGTGATGGGGCTCCCCAGTGCTAGCTCCTTCCACTTGACCGCATCCAGCGCAGAGCGGCTCGAATCGTCGACGACCGAGTGCTTTCCGATCGGCTCGATTCACTGGCGCTGCGAAGAGATGTTGCATCTCTTTGCGTATTTTATCGCGTCTATCATGGGGAGTGCTCTGAGGAATTGTTCGGATTAATCCCAGCCGCCAAATTTCATGAACGCACTACGCGGCAAACCTCCCGATACCATCCACACCATCTGGATCCTTGGCGGTCCACCACTGTACGTTTCACTAGGAGTTTTCTTCCGCGTACGACCTCTCTGTGGAATAATTTACCACCGATACGACCTGGGGACCAAGAAAAGAGCTTACTCCTTTCTAAAGGGCCGGAAACGCACCTGCAATTTCTCTGGTGTTGCGGATGTCCATGGGCGGCGGTAGTCACTTAACATCAGGTGAACCGTATGCTCGTTTGCCCCCTCTTCTATAAAAAATTGCCCATATTAACCGGGTCTTATTGCCCTCCCGTACTATATATAAAAATAGTGTAATAACAGCTCATGAAGTATTCCATATCATCCTCAGAGGTGACAACGTATCCGTTACCTTTTTGGTTTGAAGTTGGTTGCAGGTACTCATGGACTGTCGTGGTAGCTCAGGGGTTAAGCGTTAAATGTAAATTTAATAGTACGCGAGTAACCCGGGTTCGAACCCCGCCGGCACCAATGAAATTGTTAATTGCAATTTTAAGTGCTGATTCACCACGTGTTCAGCAGTGAAGGAAAGCATCGCGAAGAAACTTGAATGTCTGAGAAATAGAAAAAATATTTCTAAGACACGTGAAGTTCGCCAAAATGCATTAGAGCAGCGCGCTGGATATTTCCTTGCCCTAAAACCCGCTCAGAAACGAGAGGAGGCTTGTACCCAGCAGTAGTAGCCCTTCTTTTTTGTCTAGCAGTCGGTCTGGTAGCTACCATTTTCTTACCTATTTTTACCGCCAAGTACCATGTTGTGTTCTCAGGTATGAAGGGTAAAGAGACTCGGTGTACTTACAGGATGTGAGGCATCCCATCTTAGTCCTAAGAGCTAGGCTAAGCAGCGCCTTTATTCGAAGTTGACTAAAGTTGTCTATAAGCTGCATTAGCCATATACCATCAGGTGGACTGTGAGTTCGGTTGTCACTTGTTTTATGATATAAAAAATACATTGATTAACGCGTAGGTAACTTAAAAAGCCTGTGTCCCTTGCCGACTCTGCCACTCACATCTGCAGCATTTCCTCATTTAATCTTTCTATGTGTACAAACCATCGAAGCATCCTTCAAAGCTTTTTAACACTTTCACTGTCCGTGACCCACATATGGGTCATTGCTATTGTCTTACTATTGTGTCCGCAAATCGATCAGTGAAAGTTTTTATTACCGTAACTTAATTGACATCAACTATCATTAGTATTTAACAACAAACAAACATTAACAAAAATAATCAACAGAATATTTAAATTTGGAAATCTTTCAGTGTCTCTGGGGGAATCTGCCTCCTTCTTCTTGCTCTTTTCAGACAGATTGCCTATAGCAAATCTGAGGTATCACATCTGTGACGCTGCTCACTTTGCTGGGTGTTTTACGACTGGCGTGATTGTTACGTTTGGGCATTAAGGATCCACAATCGGTTAGGATGTGCAGAGGTGTTCTTCCGTTAATGAACAGCCCCGGCACATTCTTGAGTTGCTTAGTCACAGGATGGACATGTACTTTTTTAGACAACAGTGTCCAATCAGTTACTTAATCCAAATATGTTATTTTCATGTCATGTCGAGATTGTGAACGTGGTATAGCCACGCTGCAGCTATATTCGGTCGGTCGGCTCGACCGGGGAAGGACCACGCTCTCACAGAATGCCAGCGTAAAATACGTTGGTCACTGAATAAGTTTTGAGATGCTCGAAATTTAAAAATGGAACGCACCTGTGTTATATGTTTCTAAAAAGGAAATTTATTTGAAAATAGAACTCCATAAGCCAATTGTTTAATATTAAAAAAAAAGTTCTATTAAGTTTCCTGCAACGCTTCCCCCAATTTTCATTTAAAACATTTGCTATGATCTATTGTGATTTTAAATTTGGTTTAACTGAACAATTAGGTTTACAACTGTTACAATCAGCATTAAGGGACTCAGCTCCAGCACGCGCAACAACTTTTAGGTGGTTTGCTGAATTCAAAAGGGGTAAAATTAACCTTAAAACTGACCAAAGAACAGGGGCCCCGCAAACAGCATTAACGGCAGAAAATACTCATATAACTACTGACATGTTGGTGCGAGAAGATCCACGAATCACATATACGGACATCGAAAAGATTGTAGGCATTAGTTCGGGGAGCATTCATACCATCCTACATAAACATCTTGGAGAGAGGAAGCTTTGTTGTCGATGAGTGCCCCGTTTGCTCTTCGAAAGCGAAAAACAGACTCGTGTGGATTGATGCCATGAAATGCGTCCACATTTTGAAAACGGGGCATCTAGGCGTGTTTCAGAAATCGTTACTGGTGACGAGACACGGATCTATCAATATCCTCGCAACGTCGGCCAAAAAATGGTGGCTAGTTTTTTTTCGTGGAGCGGACATTTGTCGACGTCAATGCTGGAAAATTTTAGATCAGTCAACTCAGAATAGTATACTACAGTTGCGTTACCCAAAGCTTTTCAAGCTATGCGGGAGTGAAGACCAAAGATTGGGCTTCGGGGAATCACGCTGCATCACGATAACGCCTCTTCACATACCTCCTTTAGTACAAAAGCATTTATTGAGGAATCTGGTGTTGAAACTCTAAGTCACCCACCCTACAGCCCTGACTTAGCTCCTTGTGATTACTTTTTGTTACCCAAGAGTCAAAGAAAAAATAAAAGGCAATTTTTTTTCAAGCGCCGAAGAAGCCGTTGCTGCCTACGAAGAAGCGATTTCCGACCTGTCAGATCAAGACTGGCAAAAGTGTTTTCAGAGTTGGTTGGAACGTTGTATAGAGCATGATGGAGAATATTTTGAAAATATGTAAAATAAATATATATCTAGAATATTTTTGTATATCTCAAAACTTATTGAGGGTCTAACGTAATTTTTTTACTTAAAATGAGGCATTCATATCTTAGTCCTCAGGGGTGACAGCTCATCTGCGTTTAGACTCTTAATCGAGAATAAATGTAGATGCCTATAGGTAAATACGGATACTGTGGCATCCACTTACCATCAGGAAGACTATGTGCTCGTTTGTCATCCATATTCTATTAAAAAAAAAAAACATAATATAGCTGCAGCGTTACTCTACCACGTTTTATATTTCTCCATGCAAAAATATTACTCTGTGAATAAGAGTGAATAAAACAATAACAAATTCTGCCCAATCCAGCTCTGCGGCCTCTATTACATTATCTTAAAATGTTTTTATACAAATGTAACTAAATATCTCTCACCATTATCCGTTATAGCTATCACATCACTGTAATACACTGTATGATCATAGAATCGTATTTATTTAAAACGTCAGTCAGTAGAAAATCGTAGTTGTTTAAAACGTTTTATCATTAATGCTTTAGTAAAAAAAGAAGAAAGTGGTTAAGAATGGTAAAAAAAGAACGTATTGGGTCAGACTTTTGATAGGACGGCGTCCAAAATCAGGGATTCACAATACTTTACTGAGCATAGAAAATACAAATTCTTATTAAACGTATCTCAAATGGATGAGCACGTAATATATTTTAAATAAAAATATATTTCAAAGCATAGAGATTAATGAAAATTTTGTTTTATAAATAAATAAATAACTTAAAAGTTTAAATAAACACGCTTAAACACCTATTAACCTTTTTAACTCTATTACATAGCAGCCTATATAAAGGTGCTTTCACAGAAATCTAAATAATAAGGCACTAGAAATGCCTTCTACTATCTTTTAATATCGGGATGCGTGTCGCCGGTTCGCAGCTATCACACATAGACAAACAATAAATACACAATTACACCTACACGTATCTAGCATTTATGCAACAAAGATTAAACTATAAAACTATTGCGTTAAGGAATATTTTATAAAAACGTAAAATCTCTGGAGATCAATAACTAACGTGTGCGAAAAACAGAGAATGACATTGCGCATTCACTCTCACTTGGGCATAGTGGAGCGCAACGCACGTTTCGATAACTTTCTTTTAAGCAGCGTTGATCTTCCAGGAGTCTCACGCCAAGATATAAATAATTAACTGAAAGTTCTCAGTAGTAGACGCTTTTAGTCTTAGCTTTACCTTTTAGATGTTTTATAATTAGAGAAAAGGGGATATAATAATACGTTAAGGATAAGTATATCCATTTATCTTTAATATCCGGATTTTTTGGAAACCTGGAATAATAGCATTATATTAAATAAACAGACGTTTAAATAAAATAAATACATTATACAAACAACAAACAAATAAATATATGTACGGGTGACATATTTATCATTTTTTTTAGTTTTAAAGATCTGTAACTGAATTTCTGTTGTTTGTCATTTTTCAGTTACCCGGATTCTTGCAGATCGAATTTAGTTTACTATCCTTATAATATAATTACTTATCCTTACAACATAATAAAACTGCATAAAATCAAGTAATTTAAAAGTACAAACAAACAAATAATCGCTGATAAACGGTTAACGGTATAAAATATTTAGAAAGAAAAAATGAGGTGTAATTAAATATTTAAAGAAAAATCGCATTTCATTCCCATTTCGGTAAAACTAGGTAAGTTAAACATAATAAATTATCGATATAAAATAGTAGTGTCAAGTCACTGACTCGCGCTCGACCTACGGCCGTGTTCTTGGATATTTACGTACGCGACAATGTTGTATATTACCCATACTATAAATGAATCGCTGCTTTGAACTAGCTTAAGAATCAATGGATGTCGAAATGTGAAAACAGTTACATTTTCGGAGACAATCGTAGTACTGGAGGTGAATAATTTTATTTAAGTAAATTTCATTAAAAACAATATTATTTTAAACACTATGTACTTATTTATGAAATGTTATGCCTATATTTGAAAATTTGCAAGTTGTGGAAGAATTTCCGCAGTTTTTCTTCAAAACACCATTTTTATTTTTTACGTCTCTGCGTCCGAAACAACACTGGTGACCGAAACAAACGCTCCTCGCACGCTTGTGGTCTACGAGTCACATGTGTGGCGCGGTCAGGTGACTTCTATTGCCTTATTATTTAGATTATTGTGGGTGTTATACTGATGTTGACAAGAGACAACAAAACCACTTACAGTTTTAGCAACGATGCTGTTATTAGCGGCTATTTCCTGCGCTAAGGCGTCCACTAAAGGTTTCACCATATCCATCTGCTCCATCCCTAACAATCCGAAGTGGTAAAAAGGACGAGGAATCTGGAGGATGACAGCGGGGTCCACGTATGCGTTACCAATCATGAAACCCTGGAAAATGAAATTTTCCTTTCTTAATCAATAATTATATTGCTATCTAAGAAATACTCTTAAAATGTAGAAAATATTAACGGTAGAATAAAAAAATCATCTTCTACCTTCTAAATGATTAATTTTTGTTTCTCTCTTGGCGTAGACAGAGAAACCTATAGACTAATGATCGGCGTGGCCTCGAGTGAGAAAGGACGATAATGAATTTTTAGGTTATACAATAATCTTTATGACTTTTAACATTTAGATAAAAATTTTAATTGTTCTAAGAACTGAACTGAACAAGGATTCACCAATCTTGCTCACAAAACACTTTTTTCTCACTTAAACCAACTAGTAAACTCCTTAAATCGCTACGCTGTTAAAGTTGTTTAGCAAACTCTACAGTTTGCTAAACAAAAAAACCGGCGCGGAGAAAGGGACAAACAATCACACCGCTCTATCTCATTTCTATTCAAGACGTATGCATAAATCTATCTTTTTCGTGTGCGAATGCGAAAGAAGGCGTCTATTTGTCTATAGGTTTCTCTGTCTACGTCTCTTGATTTAATAACGATAGAAAGGGGTAGGTATATACTTAATTAATACTTTAGGAAGCGATAATAAACAATTATAAGTTATTTTTTGTGCTTAACGATTTAAGGCATTAATGTAGTTTTTGAAAATGACAAAGTGTGGTGAAGACAGAATATGAAAAGGCAGAACACGGTGCTGGTTTTTGCAATGTTTTAGATTTTTTCAACTTGTTACCAAAATAGAAAAATATTTTAATGAAATAAATTATAAGATTAAACGTCATCACCAACAGTCTATCACTATACTTTTACCGAACATACGCCTACCCCATTAATAACCAAACCAAAGCACGGCACTGAACCACATTTACTAAATTAATTTAATACTATTTTACCCGGTTTTTATCTAAATTAGCAAACAATTTTGAATCTTCGTCATTCACTCAATTTATTCAGCAATAGGCATTTTCTTCCGTCGGCGCCGTCGACTTTGTGTGAAAAAGTTGAATTTAAATTCTGAGTAAAATGAAAAAAAAAAACAAGTTCACGAGCATCATTACGGTTCTGTGACTCAGATGCTTAAAATTGCATTGCGGCGTTATGGGGCGCGGTTTCAAATCCCTCACAAAAGAAGAATTTGTATTTTCTACAATTTTTTTGCGGATCTTAAAGTTTGCCCTTGTGTTATTTATGCATGTAAACTGACTTTACAATACAAAAGAAAATTCTACTATGAGGGCTTCTTAAATAAATAAAAAATCAAAATATATTATATTAATTCCATTATATATCCGATTTTTGCCACAATAATCCACATACCTGCAAATTAACGTCTCCGCCTGGCTTGTTCATACGCTTGTGTATTTCAACGCCCAGCGAGGGCACGTACTTCCCGGCGTATGACTCCCCCGCTACGTACAACGGAGCAGTTCTCAACTCGGGGAACACTTGAAGAAATTGTTGAAACGCAGTGTACAAGTGACTGGAATACTAATATTAGAATGGAATTAACAAAACTCACAAAAAATTAGAATATATATATATATATATAATATTATAATATATTTAATATTTCTCTTGCTCTCCGATAGAAATAAGTAGATTAACTGGTCGTATCCGTTTGTATAAGTCCCGCACGTTGATATTGTTGCGACTGGCGACCATCTTAGTGACGTAGTCGAACTGTCAGTACCGTTCGCAAGGTCAGCCAGCGCTTACGCGAGAGTACCTCTACCACGTGTTTATATAGCTTAATAAAATTTGCACACCGTGTGCATTTAAGGATTTTTAATAGGACATGACAAAAGATCGTCGAAAAGAGCAGAACTACGTCTGCCTGGCTAGCTAGTATAATATAAATACCTATAACCCAAGGTTATAAACATTTTTCACCAGAGGTGACAACACCTTACACGAAAAGAAGATTATCGTTTTTGTTGTCTGTACTTTTTGCGGTGGATGACGTCACGCAGCTGTTATTGTGACAGGGTTCCATCGCAATATCTACGTGCGGGGCTTATATGTGACATGTAGAATGAATTATAGTCAGCCAGTGTAGTGGCGGCGTAAAAAATTCCACTACCCTATACTATCCTGTAGAGGAAAACGAAATAGGAGATAAGCAACAACATTTAACACAAAATTAAAAAAAACTGTGGTTGCCAACTCGCGTGCTAAGAATTGTTCAAGTTTTATTGTTACGTAAAACACTCGCCATGTGACGATGCAGAGCATTCAATATAGGCCCTCCTAGTTAGACACTTCTATAAAGCAAATTAGCACAGGGCAAATCGCATGCGATAAACCCGAATAACCGATAACACGGAAACAAATTGACCGAATGAAATGAAAGGGATTAAAATTGGGTATATGAGGAAAGAGAATGACCATGCTATGGCTATATTATTAGTATATTAGAAGGAATGAGTCGGCTCGCCCGGGTAAGGACCACGATCTCACAGAATACCGGCGTATGGTGATTGTAGAGAACCGGAGACCCTTTTTACTGGAAACGAGACATTTCATCTAAGTCCTCACGGGTGATAACGCGTCTGCATTTTGATTCGTAATCGAGGATAGACGTAGATGTCTATGGGGCACAGCAACCACTTACCACCAGGTGGACTGCGTGCGTGCCTATTAAAAAAGAGAAATATAAATGTGGCAAACATCCACTTTGTGAGACATTCTATAAGGCAGGTCTATGTTGCTAAGCTGTAATGACGATGATACAATATACTCGACCGGTAAAGGGAGCAGCACGAAAGATACAGAAACACCTTTTGCTGCAAGCTACGAGCCAAACCACCTACTAAGCGTGGTGATTATTACAAATTATTTTTATACTGAAAGTTTTCGATTCCAGCAGTGAACTTCATGCGACATATTATTGAATCAAACTTTAGTTTAGAGAACTCTTGTCACGGTTAGAAACTATTTATCATTATCGTTATTATCATATATAAGTACATTAACAATCACCCCTGTCACCCAGAGGTAGGCAGAGACTATGGACTTCCATTTGGCAGGATCCTGACACACCTCTCTCGCCTCCTCTACATCCATATACCCATGCATACAAGTTCCCTGTCCTGTGACCCACATATGAGTCATTGATATTGTCTTACTATTGTCTGGAAATTGGACAGTGAAAGTGTTAAGGGTACTATTAATTTGACCCATTTTCAATATATCGCTAATTTGACCGATAAACTTTCGCCTATGAAGTCCCTTTCCGACACTGCCGTTCACTTCTGCAACATAAATTTGCTTTGTCACTCTTTCCTCATTCATTATTTCTACATGACCACCGGAGTATTCCTTTCTTAATCCCGGTCACAGCATCATCTTGCAAATAACTCTCTTCTCTTATCATACAATTTCTCACCCTGTCACTCAGATTCAGCCCTAAACATATTAATCAACTACCGTTACTAACACAGCCTATCAAAAGCAGACTGCTGAACAAAGGCCCCCATAGGTCTCACAGGGAGGATACTTGCCATATTTGCCACGCTTGGGAAGCGGGTCAACAAACGCAGTTTTTTATTTTCATCCTGCTGATATCAGGAAGATGCGGCTGCCTATCACCTGGTTTAGTTTCTCTCTGTCACCTGTTACGACACCTACAGGATAATAGTAGTAGTATTAGATATTTATACACCGCCACTACACGGTGAAACTAAACACCAAACTATGTGATGAGGTTTACATAGTAAAAATCCTTACCGTAGTCATATCTCTAGTGTATCCTTTGTTGTCTTCGGTGAAGCTGAACCCAGTCCCAACGGGATTATCAAAGAAAACCAATGAATGATTTTGCAACCATGAATACTGATTTCCTGAAAAAAGAAACAGTATTTATGCTAAATGCTAAATTGAAGCTATACCAGAAAAATGTGTGAAAGATTTCATGAACTCTAAAAACTTCAACAACTTCTCAAATAAGGCTATGCTAACGAGAACCTGGCTTCTTATGTTCAAAGCGTTCTGTATTACAAGTAGTGTCGACGGTCCTTCTAAGCTACTCCTATTGTATACATTCCAAGCTCATTAGAAGAATGCTTCTTCTACTACTCCTATTGTATACATTCCAAGCCCAGTAGAAGAATGTTTCTTCTACTACTCCTATTGTATACATTTCAAGCTCAGTAGAAGAATATTTCTTCTACTACTCCTACTGTATACATTCCAATCTCGGTAGAAGAATGTTTCTTCTTCTACTTTATTGTTAAATCTACTGCTAGACACTAGTCCCTCCCATTGTAAGGAAGATTTGACTTAATAGCCGCGCTTGGCGGACGGATGGACGATCGCAATGCCAGGCGTTTAGCACCTTTGACGCTTATTTCCATCGCTAGTCTAGTTATACCGCCATCTATCGGAAACCATAGGATCTTTCTGGCATATCCCAGAGTCATCTCTAATGTGGAATATTTTCTGCTGTCGGAAATACAACAAAGTATTCAATTCATTATAATATAATACTTGAAAAAACATATCTAGTAATAGTAACTGTGACGATGACGAAATAAAACCATTCATCACGTCATGCCCCGTGAAAGAGGTTTCGGGATCATTACGATGGATGGCGAAATAATATAAATATACCAGCGACCGATCGATTTTATTGGTGAACCGAACCCGGTTCGATCCCCGCCGGCACCAATAAAATTGTAAATTGCAATTTTAAGTGCTGATTTACCACGTGCTCGGCGGTGAAGGAAAACATCGTGAGGAAACCTGCATTTCTGAGGAATAAAGAAAAAATATTTCTAAGACATGTGAAGTTCGCCAACACGCATTGGGGCAGCGCGGTGGACACTTCATTGCCCTAAAACCCTCTCAGAAATGAGGGTAGGCCTGTGCCCAGCAGTGGGACGTATATAGGCTGTAACTTTACTTTACTTTACTTTACCAGCGACCCGCCCCGACTTCGCATGGGGATTTAAGTATCTCAACAACAGCATCACCTACCGGGTTTTATTGTAAATCTAAACCATTCTCGAATCTACTTAATCTAAATCAACTTCATAAAAATCGATCCATGCGTTAAATACTAATTTAACTTACGTCCTTTTTAAATTGAAATGAAACTAATTTCTAGTTTTACTGTTCTAAAAAGCTTGATTTAATTACATAACGTGTAAATTAATTAGGTATATTAAAACTACTTTTACGGATTTTATCGCGTTTATTTTATAATAAACGCGATAAAATCCGTAAAAGTAGTTTTAATCATGTGTATTGTTCGCGTAAATATAAGAAATCATTAGGTATATTAAGTTCGACGAACTTACTTTTTAATTTGAATGTCGCATCAATTGTAAACGGACCAATTTCATCGAACAGTCCAGTCATACTGGAAGCGCCCGGACCTCCTTGTAGCCAAATAATCCAGGGAGTTTTATTTACCGGTTTATTTTCGACGGGAAAATACCAAAAGAAAAGGTTTGAATTGTACGTTTTGTTCACGGTGAAATATCCTGAGTAGCTTTCGACTCCGAGGAAAAGTTGAGGGTCAACTCTGCTTGCGTTGCGAGCTTCTTGAAGTTGACCTCGTTCAATAAAAGGTGTTAGTATAAGGGCAGTCAAATTTTCGGTTTCGTTAGCACAGGCTTTTCCATTATATTCTTCGGAGTCCTCAATCTCACTACTGTCGGTTTTTTTACACGTCTGATTTACTGATTTGGACGCTTCGTCTTTTTTAGTCTTGTTTTCTTTAGTATCATCTTCTATACTGTTATTTGTTATTTCTTGAACCGCTTTTTCACCGCCAATTATATGGTCAACTGTTGCTATCGTTGTAACATCTTCATTTTTTATAACATCTTTGGCTTCTGTTTTACCTATTGAATTTAATATATCCGCAATTTTCTGTTCACTTAACGCAACTTTACAGTAGACACTACAAAATATTACGAAATAATTAAATATACCTACTACCTAAATATTTCACTAACGCAACCAATTACAATCTTACCTTGTAAATATTGCACTAAATACACAGAAAATAATTATTTTCGTTAACACCATTTTGTAATATTTACTTTAATTACGCGTTCCCCTATAAATGGAGAATGAATAGCCAATATAAGATAAATGTGCACGATTTATCAATTATCAGTTGAACTGGTTGATCCCAGCTTGTAATATAATGACATGCGACACGGTCACTGAGATTTGCTGTTCAACATTTACTATACAATTTATCCACACGTGGAACAATAATACTTACTCCAAAAATATTTTCATAAAATGCAAGTATTTGCGTAAGTTCAGCCCGTTATGTTAAAACCTGTTTGCAAATTCCAACTTCAATTTAGTACGGATGTGGGCGAAGTTATAAATTACTTTGACCTTAGGATTATATTACATACAGAAGATGAAGTCACACAAAATAAATATGTATTGTGGTAAAATTACTTTCAATAAGTTTTTTTTATAGGATAGGGTGACAAACAAGCACTCAGTCCACCTGATGGTAAGTGGAAGCTGTGGTCCATAGACATCTACATCTATCCTCGATTACGAATCAAAATGCAAATGAGTTGTCACCCGTGAGGACTAAGATGAAATGCCTTGTTTCCAGTAAAAAGGGTCTGCGGTTCTCTACACTCACCATACGAAACATAGCAGCATTACGCTACCATTTCACGCTGGTATTCTGTGAGAGCGAGGTCCTTACCAGGTCGAACCGACCGATTCGTGCTACAACTACACTACTAATATAACTGCAGCGTGGCATTACCTTCATCATAGAATATTATAATACATACATAGTAGAACGGGGAGTGGGCGGAGCCCATGTAGCCAATAAAATGTGACTAACATGTCAATTCACACGTATAAATGTCAACACGAGATGTGTTTTGACGAAATTATTTATAAAATGCCAAATTGCACCCTATTTACAAATAAATATGTATCAAAATTTAAACGATTTTTTTAATGATGATCTTGAACATTAATCAAGTCTAAAATATGCAAATTTACTCAGTTTATCAACACAGGCGACACCAATCCTCGTACAAAATAAGGTTGACAGCCATTCTATTGTGTATTTATAGTATTCTATGACCTTCATGTATTATAATTTATGTACAATAAAGTATTTTATATGTCAGGTCTGTATATATACCTGTATCTACATGGTAGAGCCTAGTAGCAGCATGAATGGGTAGGCCCGACCAGAAGGACCATGCTAAAACAGAATTACAGCGTAAAATAGTAGATTAATGCTCTTATGTTTCGTATGGTTAATGTAGTAAACCGAAGACCATTTCAACGGTAACGAGACGGCATTCTTAGCCCTCTGGAGTGACAACACATTACATTTTTATTCTAGGATAGTTTTAGATGTCAATATCTACATAGTATAAAACCAAGTCGATTCCCGCCTCGATCTTTTAAACAACGCAACGGATTTGATGCGGTTTTCATCAATAGACAGAATGATTCAGATAGAAGTTGATACTTGATATGTATAATTACATAAATTTCTTGTGTCCGTGTGTATGTGACTGAACTAAACGGTTGGTCTAATTTCGATGTCATTTGTGAAAAAAAATGTGTGAAAAAGTTTTGTGTGTGTGATTAAGTTGATTCGAGAAGGGTTTAGATTCACAAATGTGCCGCTGTTGTCGATATCCAGAAATCACCCATGCGAAGCCGGGGTATATGGCTAGTGGTCTGTAAAATACAATATCAGGTGGACTATATTCTCGTTTGTGACTAAGGGTGACAAACGAGCACACAAGTCTAAAAAATAATCTCAAATGGAAAGCGCGTAGAAATGATACCTAAATGAAGTCAATAAAAATAAACAGGGCATAGTAAACGATTCAGTCTATAGTGCTCACGATCCGCCAATCAAGATAAAGAGCATTATTTACGTATAATAGTAGCAAAAATGTAGTTGTACCATACTAGTTTTGTAAACAATGTAAGCTCATCACTTAAACTAAAAAAAATAAACAATTTTTGCTAACAGTAATTTTTTTGCGGCTTTACTTATCAAACCGACGGTCTCCATCTACCTTACTATTTTTGCCAAAAGATTTCAGCTCCCTTTATTATGACCCAAATACTTATATTTCGAAGTTAGATTTATATTTAGTTAAAAACTATTACAAAAAATTTGTCTTATATCGTGCTGTACATCGGGCGCCATATTACTTACATTACCTACAAAGTAAACTATGATACGATATAGATAAGATGAATTCAAATGTACCTATGAGAATTACGTTACAAATCAAAAATCTAAGAATATTATAATTAAAATTTTAAAATAATAAAAACAGACTTTTGAAATCAGCCAAAAGGTCTTTTTAATTAAAAGGTCTTCCAATGTTTTATATTTATTGACAATTCTTAACTTACTACAATATATAATTTATAACTTATACACAATATTAAATTGTAAATTAAATAAAAATAATCAGTCTTTAATTAAATGATAACACATGAACATTCAAATAGAATTGACATCACGTCTACTTTAGAGTTTATCACACAAACAAAAGTTTCCATTATTCTTATTATGCTAATACAATAAAGACTACGCACACTGTTTTCTTAATTTCTTAATGTAGTAAATTTAAGGTTTAATTAAATATTTGTTCTGGAGATGAGCAAAAAGTCTCTGATAGTGCCCATGATATCCGCCATTCTTGTTATTTGTGACGCTATTGTCTGAACTGATTTACGGATACTGTTCCAATTTTCTATCTTTTCTTTTTCCAAACGTAAAAACTCTGTCGCGTCATCACTGTGGCCTGTAACAAGGTTTATGGTGAAAACTAGATGACATATGATTAGCCCACGACTATATAAAAATAATGCTTTTATTAAATACAAAGGCATCTCATAATGTGTTTTCTCGCTCCTGACATTAGTTTTTTTTTCATAGGCATTCTTGAACAAACTTTGAAAAAAAATGGTAATTGCGAGACTTGCTGCAAGACCAAGACCAAGAACAAGACTGAGAGCGCAATACCAAGACCAAGAACAAGACCAGGTGTATTGGCGCAAGACCAAGACCAAGACTGGCAAAGTCTCGTCTTGTTCTTGCATTTGGGCAACACTAATTTAAGGTAATACCTCGAAATATTTTGTGTTTTTCTATTTAACATATCTTTTTAAGTTTTGAACATTACCAGCCAAAATTTCGGTATATGATTTTAGACTATATGACCTTGGATTGCAAAAAAGGAAAACACGATATCATGGAATTTTCTCGATAGAAAAAAATTGCAAAGTAGGCTTTAATTAGTTACATTTCTCCATGACATCACAATATGTTTACGAATAAGTTCATGGAATTATTTTTAAAGCATAGTAAATAATCATATCTAAGTTCTCATAAACCATTTTTTCAATCCATAACGAAGTTTACTTAAAAAAAATGTTGTTTGGCGCTTACTTAGTTGTTTTCCGAGCGTGTGATCGGTATAGCTATATCATAATTTGCGTATATTGAAGTCATTGCATCACATTCATTTTGACACTCTCAGTCGTTAGTGAGCTTCACCGACAAAGGAATAAGCCACGCCCCCAAAACTACGATTCATTTTTAAGGTATCCTCTTAACTAGATCGTATCTTAATATGTCAGATTATAAGCCACTTCCATAAACTTAATAAAAAGCAAAAGCCGACCATCTAAAAAACTAAAAAGGATAAAATAGTTTCATATACTGAAGTCGGTGTTAAGACAAAGTGCAAAGAAGCATTATATTTTTATAGGAAAAGGGTGATAAACGAGCACACAGTCCACCTGACGGTAAGTGGATGCTGTGGCCCAGTGGCGAAGCTAGGGCTCCAAGCTAGGGCAAGTCCAAGATATGGTTTTGTTGTTTTTAGCAGTTTAAAAAAAACACCAATCTTGATCTGTCTCCACTCTTCAGTTTCAGAGTCAGTGCTGTCCAGGACGTGTTTAACAAAGCACACAGAAGGCAAACTACTGCTAGATAGATTGTATGACATATCAGCAATTGCATATCTTCGGTGGCTTTGAAAAAAGCCGTTTGGGTTTGCTTGAGCGAAAGAAAAAGATATTTACATACAATATTATATATGAACAAAGTATAAACAAACTATGTACAAAATTAAAAAACAAATTATTTATATACTAAATTGAATGGTCTCTAAATGGTGTATAATATTGGTGAACGTTTTAATTGTACCAAGAACTGTTGCGATATTATACAATTGCGATAATTGATAAGTCCGAAAGACGCTCTTGACCTTGTATATTTTCTCAACAAAGGTCTTTTCCTCGCCGATTAGCACTTTTACACACTTCTATTCATCACAAGGAACACTATTATTCTCCATTTTCACTAAAAATCTTTAAAAAAGCATAAGTTTTCAACAGACACAGCAAAAACATATATAAACATTCAAATGTTAAGTAAACTGGGAAATTTGAACTAGTTTGAAACAGTTTACGAGTTATTGTATTAGTTGATATTATTGATTGAGCAGATTGAAAGGGCAAGTCTGGCTTTTTGGCTTCTATAGAGGCTTCGCCACTGCTGTGGCCCATAGAGATCTATTCGCGATTACGAATCAAAATGCAGATGCGTTATCACTCGTGGGGGCTCAGATGGAATGCCTCGTTTCCAGTAAAAAGGGTTACTGGTTCTCTACACTCACCATACGAAAAATAGCAGCGTTAAGCTGCTATTTTACTCTACTTACTATTTTGTGAGAGCGTGGTCCTTCGAGCACACTCATTCGTGTAACAATTATACTACTAATTTAACTTCAGTATGGCTCTATCACGTAAAAACATAAAAATATCGCCATGTAAATTAAAATCAACCCGTAGTCGTCGTAAGAGGCGACAGACAGAAGAGGGCAGCAGGATTTTCATGAAAACAAATTGATAATAATAAAAAAGGCGATTTAAAACCCGTCTCACAAGCCGCCTGTAAGGCAATGTATGGAGGAGCAAGTGCACTATTGAAAAATAATAATGATATATGAATAAAATAAAGAAACAGTTATGCTTATTATTATTTTTTCTACTTACTCGTAAACGTCTCACTGCTAGAAATAGTAACAGACTCTTACGTCTGAGAAGTTTGTCATGATAAGACATATTGTTGCATACAATTTACAGTTTTATCATCTAGTGATCTAGTGATACATTACCAATTAAAATGAAATTGGGGTCACAGCGAAATAATATCACCTCTAATTTCACCAGTCCGTTCGTTGCAATCATCCTTGGATTTGGACTCGACTGAAATGCCCAGTACACAGCCATCTCTCTCTGACACATTGACCTCTGACGCATCGACCTCTGATACATCTCTAGAGGAATATCGTCGCTTCCGGTTTCGCGTAGACCTTAATGTGGCACCTATGATGCAAGATATATGACTTAATTATTATTATTTATTATTTTGTTTTAGAATGTATAACATCTTTAATGTATGTAGTTATATATTAATAAAAGCGGGTGTACTATTTTATTACAAATTAACTTAATTTTTTATTATCGTAAATCAGAAAAAGATAAAAATATTTGTGGAAATATAGCAGTACGATAAGTAATATATTTCTAATTAAATTTAACTTATACGTATAATAAATAACATCGATAACAAATTGAACAAACGATGAAAATATGTCTATATATTATTAATAGAATAGATAAATTAAATGGGATAGTTACAACTGAAAAAAGTAATAGATATCTTTTTAACATTGAGCAAAGTAAAATAAGCTGCTAACAGTTAAATTAAAAATATATGGCAAACAGCAAGATAACACGTGAGTGGTAATAAAAATAAAAAATAAAAAAGGCTCAAAACTGTACTCAAAACGACTATATGCAATAAAGTTGCAACGTCTACTAAATACGTCCCCCACTGCCAGGTGTACAGGCCTTTTCTTATTTTTGAATAGTTAATGGGCGATTTCTCCACCATGATGTTCCAGTACATGTTGGCGGACTTCACATGTTCTCTTAATATTTTATTCCTTAGAAAGCCTTGGTAACCATCGCTTGGAAGAGATTTCCATAAGTTTCAAAGTACACATGGCACCCAGGTTTGATTCCAACTAGCAACAAAAAAATTATTGATTTACAATTTTCATTCATTTAGTCTTGGCGGTAAAGGAAAATATAAAAAACAACATTTACTAGATGGTAGCCTTTTGTGCCTTAGAATACGTCTGGTAAACTATGTATTTTTGCCGCCTTATGAACCGGCTCTGCTGTGTTCGAGTCTGAAGGATACCGAGAGCTAGTACAATTTCAGGCTACGAGGCATTCTTTATGGTTTTAGGAAGTCAACACATCTGCAGCCTTCTTTACTTGAAGTTGGTTGAGGGTATCCAAGGACTTAACATCAACTGCAGTGATCTTAATAAAAAGCGTCGATTGGATATTATTAGTTTAAAATCAATTTAAGGCGAATCAAACGACACTTCACATGAAGTGTGATCCCTCATCTTAAACTTACTGGGAATTAAAAAGAATCGAACAAATATACACACACATATTGTATGTTTAATCAAAACATAATCCCTTTTCTGGGGCAGTCACTCTAAGAAAAATTCAAAGAAAAAGAAGCATTGTTGCCCGCGTTATGATGATGATGATCATCGTAATGATGATTAGCTGTCCAGGCAGACTTTGTTCTGCCATTTGTCCTTTAAACAATCTTTAAATTCGCAATTAAAAATATTGAAGATAAGTTATCGGGATAAAAACAATCCTATCTCTCAATCTCAAGTCGGAGCAAGCAATACACATTTATAAAATTTCAATAACGAGTATCGGAGTTCATCGCGGACAAACAATGTGACATGTAGTCTATATATAACGTCCGTGCGGTTAAAGAATGGGATTGAAAATGGCGTCGCGTCTATACACCTCTCGCTCGCACACTGCAAAAAAAATCAGTCCCGTTTTGCTAATTTGTGAGCTACGACGCGTTTCGAGAGTTCTTCCTAATTATTGTTAATTTTGTTTGTTAATGCTTTTATTTAAAATACTTATATTCCATTGAGACATTACTAACCATTTTCGTTTATCTGTCTGTTCAAGCTAATCTTTGGGATTATCGAACAGATTGTAATAAAGCTTCACAAAAAAACCAGAAGTGATGTAGACTAAATTTTATCCGAAAAATTTGGAGATTTTATAAAATATTGATAACATATAATAAATGGCCTTTAGTGATTATTCAGTCTAAATAACGCCACATTAATAGCTCCCACCCAGACGAAACCATAGCGGGGCGCTAGTTATAAAAGTTATTTCAAAATTAGTGTGGGTACTTGGGTATACAATGCTTTTCAAATATTTCCTCTTTAATAGAAAATTTCCAATTAACCGAATAATATAACGTTAAAACGATATACCGTTATTAGCGGGTTTTCGCATGTACTTACTGTGCATGTTGACGGTACGGGCACGATGTGCTACCATTTCTAATCCCATTCTTTGTCCGTATGGATTGTACATATAAGCGAAATACCACTGACTGACTGACTCATCACGATATCTCTAAAACTATACACCCGATTGACTTGAAATATCGTATTATAATTTATAGACGCTCACTAAGAACGGATTTTACGGAACTGGCATAAAAAAATCCTAATATTTTAGTTTTTATCGTCTATTATCGTGAGTCCCGCGAAGCAAGGGGTATCAGCTATATAAAAATGAGCTACAGCTAAGAAATATATTTTTACCTATATTATTAGTGAAAGTTGCAGTGTTCATATTGCTCATATTATAATCTGCATGCTCTTCTTCATCCTAAAACCATTTTGACGAATAATTATAAAACGCAATAAAGCAAATTCAGGTATCAACTAAGACATGCCACAGTGCCTAAGTGTACGCCAAAACACAGATGCTACCTTCAGAATCTAATGTTAGGACTAATGAGTTGTCATAGAAAATTCAGACACAACAACCATAAATCTATACTTTAGTAGTTGTGATTCGAATTCACAAGACAATCAGCATTCATTCATTGGCAATCAGCCACTACGCGGCGGTCGTTTTAAAAATGAAATCAGTAATTTTAAGTCTTTATTTGACCTGAAATTCATGTATTTTTAATGTAATTTCATGTATTTTTAAATGTAAAGAGGATTTGTATATCTAGATTCATAAAATACATCACAACTTCCTTCCTCGTCGTCACGATTCATCTCATATATTAAATATTTCAACACAATACCATTCATTCATAATAATTTGTCACGAAACCTCCCTCTGTCTGTTTCGTATGGTGAGTGTAGAGAACCAGAGACCCTTTTTACTGGAAACGAGGCATTCCATCTTAAACCTCACGGGTGACAACCCATCTGCATTTTGATTTGTAATTGAGGATAGATGTAGATGTCTATGGGCCGCAGCGACCACTTACCATCAGGTGGACTGTGTGCTCGTTTGTCATCCTATCCTATAAAATAAAAAAAAAGGTATGGGCACTTGGAGAAATGTGAAAATTCACTATATAAAACATTACATATTATTATATCTATAGAATATTATGATGAAATTCATTCATTCATAAGGTGTAGTGGCAGTGTGACAGAGGGTAACAAACTAGATGAGCAGTAGCGATTTCCTGATAACAATAAAAACAACTGTGGTTGGGTTGTCAATCTGCCCACCAAGCTGACTTATAAAAGTTCACTGCTGAACATAGGCCTCCCACACAAGGGTCCATGGTCGCCATGTTTGGCAAGCGAGTTGGCAATCGCAGGTTTTTATTATTTTGAGTCGTTATCAGGCTGATGCTACTGACCATCTCTTAGTCCTCATCCCATAATTGCCTCTTGATTTGATTTGCGAGAGATTGCTACAGAGACACCCACGGGACTAAGTGGGGTATTGAATTGGCTAAGCTACCAACCACCACATAGTACATCACATCGAATTTGTTTTTAATGATTTGATTAAAAATTTATTATATAAACAAAATATAATAAAATAGTATGAACTGAACATTGCCTTACATAAGCCAAAGGATCAGTTTTGATGACCACTCCATCGATGGCATTGTCTCCTATGATGCTCAATACACCTTCCTCTAATCGAGATAAGGGTATCACGCCATCTGGTGGCTTTCTGTCATTCTCATTAGCGACACTATATTCTAGTGCTCGTCTTCTAACTCTGTATTTACAGTCACACCAATACTAAAAAATTACAAAATCTTAAATATAGGTAGGTTAATTTATAAAATACACAACTATAAGATGCTGCATCAAAAGGACTCAAGAGATCATAGAGTTACTTTAATATATGGTAGTGGCCTTAATAGTTGGGTGTGGCAAAAGAAGCATGAAAGTAAAATTAATGCTGTAGAAATGCTGTCATTATGAAGTATGTTATTAGGGCTAACTTTGAATGATAAGGTAAGAAATTGTGTAAGAGAAAACTGTGGTTTGCAAGATGTTGTGACTAGGATTAAGAAAGAAATGCTTCTGTGGTTTGGAAACATAAAAAGAATAAATAAGGAAAGAGTGAAAAAGCAAGTCAATGCTGCAGAAGTGAGTGCAAATGTCAGCAAGGGATGCCCCAGACGGTAATTTTTCGATCAAATTGATGATACATTGAAAATAGGCCAAATGTAGGTACTCTACCAACGAGCGTATATGCATACGACTCGTAGGTATATGGATGTGATAGTAGCGAGAGTTGTGTCACAATTGATCTCGCTTCAATCCGATCTCCTCGATTATCTCTCTTGCGATGCTAGCACATGGCTCATATCCAGAGGTCACAATCCGAAAATCATACAAAACGGTACACTTAAGTCATCCTTGGCCATGTGTGCACATTTATCCAAACATCATCGTATCTGATTCATACATAGGTGGATATTAGCCACAGTAGCTATGCTTGGAAGCGGATTAGCAACTTCCGTTTTTTTTTTTTAAAACTAAGTCATTATGAGGAACATGCTGCTTCACATCTCCGGTTTCAGTTTTCCTTTGTCGCCTCTAACCATATCCATGGCATAATAAGAGGTAATAGATTCTTACATTTGGATTATTGATGGACCATGCACTATACTCTAATCGAAGCTTTCTCATATTTTTTTGCTTATTTATCGCTAACAACATATAAAATAAATCTTTTTTGACATTACTACATAATCTATAATTGTTGTTCTTACCCAAAAAACCGGAGAAACAAAAAATCCAACATTTGAAGGATTCAATTTCATTTAGATTTAAGAAATCTTTTAGATAAAACTGAGGACCTACTTATGTCATGGACTTTTGGCTACTTTTGTAAACAAATTTAGAATAATACTTAATTAATTTTTAGATAGCTAAGATTTAGTAAATACATAAATAATACACTATAACTGAAAAACAAAAAACCGTCAGGTTTAACATTCATCATCATCAATACAGCCCTTCACAAGTCCACTGCTGAACATAGGCCTCCCCCGAGGAATGCCACAAAGCACAGTCCTGAGACACCTGCACCCTTCGACTTCCTGCATGTCTTAGCAGGTTGTCACTCCATCGAGTTAACATTATTATATGCGATTATATGAAATATCAATGTTTATACAGCTTTTACATGATTATCAATTTAAAGCACTATGCATCTATCAAACAAAATTCTGCCACATCTAAAGAGTAGTTATATATTATTTATTAACAGAAACAACTAACTAATAAATGGAAATAATGTAACTTTAATACCCAAAACCTTTAAAAATTGTTTATAGATTTTTAAATTTCATAATAAAACACCACAGGTGTAATTTCAATTTCAACAATTTTTGAGATTTAAATTACATGCTATTTACCATTACATACAATTTACCGTTACATACAATTACTGTTACAGCCTATTAAAGTCCACTGCTGAACATATTCCTCTTCCATAGATTGCTTCATATGAGGGATATTTGCCATAGTTACCACGCTTGGCAACCAATAGTTTTTTTTTAGTTCATATTATGAAGACGCTGTTGCACATCTCCTGATTTGTTTCCCTCTATCGTCTCTTACGACTCCCACAAGATGATATGTGGGAGGAAGTGGATTCTTACACTGCAACAACGAGGTTTGGAGTAGTGTGCTTATAAAATTAAAAATTAATACCTCGATAACTACACATTTCCACTATGTAATATTTGATGTACGGAGTAATAAAAAAATAAGATCTATCCTTCATATGTATTTGAACCTTCGAATTGATTGTAGCTTTTGTAGGTACAAAGCTCAATTTGAAATATATTTTGTTAAAAATTAATTTAAAAAATATACCTATTCATTCAACTTAATTTTAGTTAAGTACCTTGGACCAACCCTTGGCATCTTTTGTAGTTCCATCTTTTAAAGCATTTAGTTTTTTAGCACATGAATTCCAAGATTTTAAGGAATGCAATTTCCCACGGCGACTTCTAGTTAATCCTCTAGCCAAATCTCGATGACACTTCATAAATTCCAGTTCATTTAACAGATTGAGACTTACTTGCTTTCTAGTTTTAAGGCCTGCCTTAACAATTTTAAAATATTTCTGTTAACAATAAAGAAAAGTCTGTATAACAACACTTAATAAAATACAAACCTACCTATATCCATGTTAATAATAATATTAGATATAGAAAGTTAGAAAGCCTCAAACAGGGAAACTTGTTAAGCATACAAATCAATATATAAATAATGATTGAACTACGACTAATGATGTTACCTATACCTACGTATATTAAAAAAGGGAGGAAAGAATACGAATCCAAAAAAGTTACAAAATGCAAAGGTCAAAAATTAAAAAAAAAAATAAAATGTTTATGTTTACAAAACTTATGTACAAATTACATATATATAACAAAAAGCATCGATACATTTAGTTCGATACCTAGTATTTTTTACTCGATTCTTTTATAAGTATCGATACTTTCTTAGTTACGCGATAATTTTATCTCTTTACTAAGCTGTCGGATAAAAGTCAGTAAATAGGATTTCGGCGGAAAATCCTGTTATAGTTGGAATAATGTATGTGTAAACGGGTAAATATATTTTATACATTTACTAACAATATCTCGTAGTAGAAGTGTTTGTACAGTAGGGCTATCCGAGCTACGATCCGGGCTACGATGGCTATCCGAGTACAGAACAAGAGTTCGAAACCTATCCAACTACAGAGAGGTGTAAGACAGGGTGCTGTCATATCCCTGAAACTCTTCATAGTTGCATTGGAAGACGTTTTCACGCTACTGGACTTGAAAGGATACGGTATTAACATCAATGGCGAGTAAATCACTCACCTTCGATTTGCCAACGATATTGTGCTTATGGCAGAATCGCTGGAGGATCTGAGCACTATGCTCAATGACCTTAATAGTGTCTCCTAACGGATAGATCTTAAGATGAACATTCAAATTAAGATGACAAGACAAAGATCATGTTTAATGTCCATGTCACAATTATGCCGGTAGTTGTTGGGTGCACTAAGCACGAAGTTGTTAACGAGTACGTTTACCTGAGACGATGAGTCCGACTAGGTAAGTCCAACTTCGACCGAGAGGTCAATCGACGGATTCGACTCGGCTGAGCAGCGTTCGGGAAATTACGTCACATCTTCTCGTCAGGTATACCTCTAAATCTGAAATCTAGATTGTACAACCAGTGCGTGCTGCCAGTGATGACTTACGGATCTGAGACACGGTCCTTCACTGCTGGCCGTATGAGGACGCTTAAGGTCGCTTAGCGTGCTATGGAGAGGACTATGCTTGGGGTTTCTCTGCGTAATATACTTAGAAATGAGGATATCCGCAATTGAACCAGAGTGACCGACATAACCCAACGGATTAGTAAGCTGAAGTGGCAATGGGCCGGCCATATAGCTCGAAAGAAGCGACAACCGTAGCGGAAAAAAGGTTCTCGAGTGGCAGCCTCTTGCCGGTAAGCGTAGTGTAGGGCAACCCCCCCCCTAGATGGAGTGATGACCTGGTAAGACATGCAGGAATTCCATGGGTGCAGGTGGCTCACGACCGTGCTTTGTGGCATTTCTTGGGGGAGGCCTATGTTCAGCAGTGGACTTGTGGAAGGGCTGTAATGATGATGATGATGAGGATGATTTCGTAATTTTGATAAATGAATATAATATGTAATGGAATGGTAACGCAAAATATTTGGATTTAAATGTGTTTCATTTGCAAATTTGTTATTATTTAGTGGAAATATTGACTAATTGGTATTCGTCGTTGAAACGAAAAAGTTTATAAAAATGAATCTTATTTTTTAACTGCTGGCTCCGGTGCTCTGCTTGATTTGCTTCTTCAGAAGGTCACCTCCTGGTGGAGGACAAAGTTATGTGTAGAAATATTTTAGGAAAGTTGATCAAAATACAGCGAAATGTAAAATTAGTTTTAAAGTTATGAAGTCTCGCGGTAAAACTTTAAAAAACCAGAGGTAAGTAAAATTAAACAAATTAATAAGATCGATTGAGTGTGTTCTGACGAAAAAAAAAACCATGTGGAAAAAGCCTGATAGATCCAAATAAAATACGATGTTTGCTTGGAAGTTATGATAGATATTATGTTTTTGAAGATATGTTTTTGAAACAGCAAATCCAGATACTTACAGATTGAAAAAAAAAAGATTCATTGGACGTTATTTGGCACATGAACGACAAATCGGATTGTATCGGTATTCCCATTGCATTAGAGTAAATGAGGTCGTATAGGTAAATTACACATGTGTTTTGTACAGTTTTCTGTGAGGTTATGATCAGAAAAATGGAAAAAAGCAAAATAAAGTCTCAGCTATTTCGACTTATTGTTTTGGGAAAGAGAATACTGTTGCGCGCCTAAGTTGACGTCTGGCACTAGCGCCATCTAGTGTCGGGTATCAGAGCGAGGAGAGCTTTCCAGAAAATGACATGACTAATATTTTAACTAACAGCGCCATCTAGTATCGAATTGAAGAACTAAGCTTTCTAGAAGCCTCAAACTCGAACTTTCTGCGTCGTAGGAGTTCGGTCGGGGGCGCCCGTATCTACGAGAATATTCTGGATGTTTCGGCGTAAAAGTGTATTTAAACCCGCTGCATGCCGCGATCGGGGCAGTATTGAATTTGGCGAGGCAAGCGAAGCTTCGGAGCGAAATAAAGTGAATCAGTGTGATTAATTATTAGTGTCTTTTAAGTTTTAATTAGTGTAAAGTGAATTAAAGTGTTAATTTTGGTAATTCTATCGGCAGTTTTTATTGTCACGAACCCTAAGCTCGTAACAATACTAATGAGTTCACAATGGTTTTATGGGAAAATATAAAATTGAATCATTATTGTGTATTTTCTTGTGATTTCTAATATTTTATAAATATTACTCCTATCTCCTATTACTACTATATCCAAGTAGTATCGATACTTTTAAGTCAATACTTTTATCGGTATCGGTGCTTTTTATTCGATCTTGGTATCGAGAAGGTATCGATACTGTTAAAAATTTCAAAGATGTTTTATTTTAACAAGATTGCGCACTCACGACTGACAAACAAGTTGAGCGAGATAGCGCTTTTTATTTTTTTTATTTACAAACACGAAAAACCCTTAACATTACCAAAAAAATTATCATTTTTTTTTTTAATATATTTTTTTTTTTTATCTCCTTTTTTTTATATTTTTTTTTAAAAAAACAAAAAAGGGAAAAAAAAACCCCCCTCTCCCCTTTCTTCTTTCTTTTTCAAAACTTGGCCAAATTATTTTTTTTTCTTTTTGGTGTGGTTTGGAGGGGGTAATTTTGTTTAGAAGGAGTGTGTCCTACTCTATTAGGGTGACTACACGATTTATTACTTCAAGGAAAAAAATACAAAGTGATGCTAAGGGTTTCTCCTATATTTATTTTATTTAGAATAATAAACAAGGACTACAATAATATATATGTCATTTATCAAGAAATACGTATAATTTACATCGTTTTATAGCTTAATACATAATAACTTGTATTACATACTTACTTTGTGTTAAGAGAAAAATAAAAGACTGTAGATAGTAGTAGAAGTGAACTTATTACGATAACTAAAGTCCAATCGCGGAGCACGAAGAATTTCGTACATTTAACTGTCATTACCTGTTTCTGTCACTCCCGCGTAAATACAATGAATCTCGCTCGCACAGATGCAATGGCCACCGTCCTCAGGGATTGTAAACCTTTTACTGGAGACTATAAGGTTTGTTGTTGTTTGCATAATGTGGTTTTGGTTGGCCTTTAGTCACGACAAAAAGTTCTTGGTTTGCTTGACCTTGACGTAATTAATAATGTAATAACGAACGACATTCCATCTTGGGATGCGTTAGTGATCGCTCAGTTTTCGGACACAGTTATTTACCTATTCTTAGTTTGTTGTTGTTTTTTAGTTTTTGTTATCTTGTTTTAATTGTTAAGTGGTATTGTTAATTTGTTAATTCACTCTTTTAATGGAACCATCGCCGTCTTCCTTGCGTCCATTCAAGGAGTTTATTTCTTCGCGGAAGAAAAGAAAAATGTCACACTTTAGTGTATCTGAGAAGGTAATGATTATTAACGTGTTTAAATACGTTAAAGAATCCTGGCCTGCTGATAAATGTCCTTCAAAAAAAGATTTGAAGGACAAAACAGCCGATATCTTGGGCATTTCGAAATCGGCCATATATCGTATCTTAAAAGAATATACCGACACAGATACCGTCAAGCCAGCTGTTTCACCGAAAAAACGACTCTCATTAATTGAAAAGATTGATGGGTTCGATAAATCGTGCATTAGACGAATAGTGCACAGCTTTTATTTAAAATGAGAGTTACCTACAGCAAAAAAGGTGCTACATATCATAAATACAGACGAATCCTTACCAAACATGGGCTTGACATCGTTGAATAAATTACTGAAACATTTGAAGTTTAAGTATGTCAAACGAAGGAGAAATAATGGGTTAATCGACAGAGATGACATAGCATTGTGGCGTATCAAATATTTGAAAAATATGAAACTTACCGATTGCAACAACGACCAATATATTACTTGGATGAAACTTGGGTGAATGCGGGTAAGACTTATTTTTATTATTTTCTAACTGACTTAAATCGGTTGTCTTTACACGCCTAAACGGCTGTTAACTGTTTAAACCTTTGATTAGTTTATTCATTTACTTTTCAGGGCACACTGTTGGCAAGGTGTGGGAAGACACTACAGTGCAGTCACGAAAACAAGCATTTTTGGAGGGTTTGTCGACGGGTGCTAAGAATCCTACTTCCAAAGGCAACCGGCTAATTATTTTACATATAGGAGGTGAACAAGGTGTCGTGCCAGAATCGGAATTGGTGTTTGAATGCAAAGGTACAGGCGATTATCATGAATCGATGAGTGCAGCCAAGTTCGAACATTGGTTTCAAGCAATGCTACCGAGACATGAGCCAAACGCAGTGGTTGTCATGGATAATGCCAGCTATCACTCAAGACGCCAGGAAAAAATCCCAGTTACTAGTTGGAAAAAAATAGATATTCAAGAATGGCTCATCAATGCAAATTTCTTTTGAGGCAAAGGAAACAAAAGTCCAGCTCTTGCAAAAGGTGAAAGATGTCAAGATTCAGTACCAATCGTACGTGGTCGATAAGCTGGCAAAAGCAGTTGGTGTGGAGGTGTTGAGATTACCTCCGTACCATTGCGATTTGAATCCCATCGAACTAGTGTGGGCAGACGTCAAGGGGTATGTGGCCCGAAGAAATACAACATTTAAGATGGCAGATGTTAAAAAGCTACTCCAGGAGGCTTTAGGAAACATTTCAGCAGAAAAATGGCAAAATTGCATCAGTCACGTAAAAAAAGAGGAATCGAAATTAGCTAGACTAGATGATAATGTAGACAAAACTGTTGATTCTTTTGTGATAAATGTGACAGGCGAGACGTCTTCGGAAAGCAGTTACTCCGATACAGAGGAATCGGATTCTGATTTTTTTTCTGCCGAATTAGCAGCTACTTGTCTAGATTTTTATTACTTGTAATATAAAATCTAAATAAATAATTTATATAATAATAATAACTATATTTCATAAGTTGGTAAATTTTCTTTCTCCTTCAAATATTTTATGTAAACCGCACTAAATACAAAAATGTTTGTGACCACTGTCAGTAGGTAAAGAGGTCTTTGTACGAAATTCTTCGTGCTCCGCGACTGGACTTTACATTAATTCCGTAGTATATGTAAAATAGATAAGCGATGCTTATACATTGCTAAACAAAGTTGTCTTGTGTAGCTTTTGACGCATGGTGGCTTTGTGTCCAATAAATTTTAATGTTTCTCTTTTTCCATAAGCCCTTAGTCTTAAAGTAAAAAAAAATGTCGCTATACATTTAATATTTTCCGTCTCATACCTATTTTCCCAGTTTATAGCGAGAACCTGATGAGGTGGAATGAATATACCATTTAATTTCAGATAGAAATATTTTTGTATTAAATAAATGTTTAAATTTTTAGCAGAATTTTATTAACAAATCCTTATTAAAAAACAACGAGTGAATACACGAAATAAAGTAAATGGGGCTTTAAACTCTATGGCAGAAAGTCAGAATGTGTCAAAAAAGGAACATATGGCGATTCATAGTGCTGTGTTAGTCCCTACTTTAACACGTGGTAGTGAAAGTTGGGTGAGGCAGAAAAAGCACGAGAGAGGAATCCCATCAAAAACATAAATGTGAAATGAGACCCAATCTCAATATTATGATATATGCCTTGGATGTTGACTTCAACGACAAAAAAAGTGAGATCTAAATGGGTGCCAAGTTCAATGGTCAGTCCTGAAATTTCTTAAAAAATACTTATATATTTGTGGTTATATTATTATTACAATTCTTTTAGTTAGCTTGTATGTACCGCGTATCTAGATAGTATAGGCAATAGTTTAAATCAAAAATTAATAAAAATTTTAGTATAGTTATAATAGTTATAAGTAGGTATGTATGTATACTTAACTCTAAATGAGTTTAAGAATAAGAACTTAAATTTATTTATAACAACATAAAATATCATTTCTTCTTATAACTTAGGATAATATATTTTAACCTAAGGTCTGACTTGGCTAGTTTTCATATACGAATTATATTATAGCTTTCGCAAGTTCTAAACCAGTTACTTATTTTATTATTCCGAAAATTTGGCTTGCTGTTAAAAACTAGCCATCGACCATAATAATTCGTATATATATATATATTTAAAACAATAACACACGATGAGTGTCGTTCGATCGCCACCGCAGTCGTCTAACATGTATAACGAAGGCAATAGAGATTCGATAGCAACCATAAGTAGTGTTAATAAGCTTGAAAAGATTAGTGCTTCACAACCAGATTTGCGAAAGATTACCCTGTCTGATAACACCAACCAGATAACTCTTCGCGCCAAAAGAAAACAGCCGCATGATGACTTTAGTATACAATTTGATAAATTTCAAGCTAAAATCGAGTCGCTTATAGAGGATATAAAACCCAAACTGAAAATCTTCACAGAATTGGTCAAGATGTCTCAGCAATAAAGGAAGAGATCAGCTTGATCAAGATAACAACTGATCTTTTGTCCTCAGAACAGGTCAAAATAAAATCGGAGTTAGCTTGCATCTCAGGTTTCAGGGCTAACATTCAGAAAAAAGTGGTGACTATCGAAAATGAAATATCATCACTAAAATCTGGATCGACTTCTGCGATACCTGCGCCTTCGTTTAGTTATGAAGATTTAATATCGGAGATCTACGAACGATCTCAGAGGGAGAAAAACGTTATCATATGAGGGATTAAAGAGATTCGATCCTCAAACTCCGAAGAGAGAAAAGAAAATAATAAAAATGGCTTTTCCAGATTGCATAGAACCGACGAAAACTATCCGTTTAGGTAAATATAATCCTGATAAATCCAGACCTATAAAGGTTATATTCTCGACATCCGAAGTAGCAAAATCAATTCTACGCAAAAGATCCAACATAAAATCTGACAATATTAAAATCTACTCTGATGAGATACCCTATCAACAAAAGTATCGAAGTAATTTGAGAGACGAACTGAAACGGCGACTAGATGGAGGTGACAAAAACCTTACTATAAAATATGTCAAAGGTACACTTAAAATTACTAAAATCCAGCCAAAAAACTAACAATGCAAAATACAGACGACACATCGCCAAACACTACTCATGAAGAAACTGATTCATACACTAACCTAATAAAAAACACTAAATCCTTAAAATTTCTCTACGCTAATGCACGAAGTATAGTGAAACCAGAAAACTCGATGAATTAAACTGCATTATACAATATAACATAAACAGTCTTGTGCATGTAATTATAATATCAGAAACCTGGATCAAGTCAGAATCTGAAGCCAAAAGTTTAAAATTACCAAACTACACCCATTATTATAACATAAGAGAAAATGCCAGAGGAGGTAGAGTATCCATATTTGTCCACGACTGCTTAAAACAACATAGAAGATCTTGTAAAGAGGATAATCACTACTTATGGGTTCATTTAGATAAATACTCGTTGGACATTGGAGCTATATATAAAACTCCAAAATCAAACAACAATGGGTTTTTGGAGGAATACTCACAGCAGCTGATAAGGAGGCAAAGAGCTTTAGTGTTTGGCGATTTTAAATACGATCTGATCAATCCTAACCAATCAATTAATACGAGTAACTATACAAATGTACTGTTAGAAAATGAAATGAATGATGAAATATAAATAATATTTTTTGATCTTATTGACAGAATAGAAAAAACTGAACTGGTTATTTGAATAAAAAATCATGAGTGCAATTAGTTTTATTAAAATTTTCGTATTTTTAAAAAATACTTTTTAAAGATACGAACGGGCTTGAAATAATAGATTTTCTCACTAAAGAAGGGAACTTGAAAAAAAGGGAAAAAAGCCGGACCAGAGACAGGACGCGAACCACGGAACTCCGATATCACACCCGACCGACATCCCACCTAAGCTATTACGATCGTTAGTGATCCGTCAAAATTTACCTTCTTATATTGTAGCAGTTTTTTATTGCCTGAAAACACGGACAAAAGGACATTTTCTAAAAATAAATCCTAGCTAGATCGATTTATTGCCCCCGAAACTCCCTGGACACAAAATTTTATGAAAATCGTTGGAGCCATTTTCGAAATTCCGATTATATATATATATATACAAGAATTGCTCGTTTAAAGGTATAGGATTTTATAATAAAGTATTACAAAAAGTAGTAAATTTTTATGTTATTGGTTTGTTTTTACTGATTTCCAAGAGATCCTCTTAGGCGGCAAACTTGGATTGTAGCTTGTAGTAAAGGATTAGCACCATTTGCTCCAAACATTTTCATCATTCATCATCATCATTACAGCCCTTCATAAGTCCACTGCTGAACATAGGCCTCACCCAAGTAATTCCACGCAAAGCAAAGCAAGGTCCTGAGCCACCTGCATCCATCGACTTCCTGCATGCAGGTCGTCACTCCATCTAGTGGGGGGTAACCCTACACTACGCCTACCGGTACGAGGTTGCCACTCGAGAACCTTTCTTCCCCATCGGTTATCGGTTCTTCGAGCTATATGGCCAGCCCATTGCCACTTCAGCTTACTAATCCATTGGGCTATGTCGGTCACTCTGGTTTTACTGCGGATATCCTCATTTCTGAGACTATCACGCAGAGAAACTCCGAGCATAGCCCTTTCCATAGCTCGCTGAGTGACCTTGAGCGTCCTCATACGGCCAGCAGTGAAGGACCACATCTCAGATCCGTAAGTCATCACTGGCAACACGCATTGGTTGTTCACTTTAGTTTTCAGAGATTGAGGTATACCTGACGAGAAGATGTGTCGTAATTTCGCGAACGCTGCCCAGCCGAGTTGAATCCGTCGATTGACCTCTCGGTCGAAGTTGGACTTACCTAGTCGGACTATTTGTCCCAGGTAAACGTACTCGTCAACAACTTCGAGCATAGTGCTCCCAACAACTACCGGCATAGGTGTGACATGGATATTAAACATGATATTTGTTTTGTCCATGTTCATCTTAAGACCTATCCGTTGGGAGACACCATTGAGGTCATTGAGCATAGTGATAAGGTCCTCCAGCCATTCTGCCATAAGGACTATATCGTCGGCAAATCGAAGTTGCGTGATGTACTCGCCATTGATGCTAATACTGTATCCTTTCCAGTACAGTAGTTTGAAAACGTCTCCCAACGCAGCGGTGAAGAGTTTCGGGGATGTAACATCAACCTGTCTTACACCACTCTGCAGTTGGATAGGTTTCGAACTCTGTTTCTGTACTCGGAGAGCTATCGTAGCCCTACTGTACATACACTTCAGCACTTGGATATACCGACAGTCAACTTGGCACCGCTGATGGGACTGTAGCACCGCCCAAATTTCGACGGAATCAAAGGCTTTCTCATAGTCCATATATGCCAGGCAAAGTGGCAGATTGTACTCTTCGGTCTTCAGTACAATCTGCCGCAGGGTATGTATGTGGTCTATGGTACTGAAGTCTTTTCGGAAACCGGCTTGTTCGGGAGGCTGGAAGTCGTTGAGTCTGCATGCGAGACGATTCGTAATGACTCTCGAAAACAGCACGTAGACGCGGCTCAGCAGGGAAATCGGTCTGTAGTTCTTCAAGAGAGCATTGTCGCCTTTCTTAAAGAACAAGACCACCGCGCTTCTGCTCCACGCCTCCGGAGTAGTGCCACCATGGAGGACGAAGAGCTTCTGAAGGACTTCAAGTAGCGGTGTTCCACCCGCTTTCAGAAGCTCCGCTGTAATTCCATTCTCGCCCGGGGCCTTGCCGTTTTTAAGGTTCTAGAGAGCCATTCTAATCTCACTCAGACTGACGTCCGGGATATCATCGGAATAGTGTCGGAAAGACTTGCTCTTGGATCGTTACTCACACTTGCGTGTGGCTCCAACGATGATGGGTACAGCTGCCCATAGAACCTCTCAATCTCATTCAGAATCTCAGGTGTCCCAGAAATGATGCTGCCACGCTCACTCTTCAGCTTTGACAGTTAGCTCTTTCTGGCAGACAGATCTCTGGCAAAGACTTTGGAGCCCTGGTTCCGTTCGATCGCTTCTTTAATACGAGCAGTATTAAAGTTGCGTAAGTCTCGCCGCATGCATTTGGAGATCTGTCTGTTCAGTTGCCTGTATGCTGTCAAATCTGTTGACAATTCCAGCCTCATCACCCGTCTAACAGCCATGAGATTAAGAGTGTGATCGGAGAGTTTTTGTGTTCTTCTGCGGCGGGTCTTGCAGAACTTAGCACCGACCGCATGGACAGTTTCCACGAGCTTGTCATTCATATCGTCCACTGCATTGCAATCTTCTAGGCACTAAAAGTGGTTACGTAACTCGAGCTGAAAGGTTTCGGGATTCTGGATTAGAGCACGAGGGGGACGGAGCGTTGACTTCATTAGACGAGACCTATCCAACTTAACGTTTAGGTTCAGTGAGCCTCTAACCATTTGGTGATCGCTGCCAGTTTTCACCCTTGCGATCACTGAGACATCACTGAACAATTGGCGTCTGGTCGTCATAATGAAGTCAATCTCATTTTTTGTCGAACCGTCGGGGCTCGACCAGGTCCACTTCCTGTGGGGCCGCTTCTGGAAGAAAGAGTTCATCATAAAGAGTCCCTCTTTCTCCATAAAGTCGGCCAGCTGCAGGCCCCTTCGTTCCGTTGCCCTACTCCAAATTTCCCTAACTTCAGCTCACCGCTTTCTCTTGTGCCTAGTTTTACATTGAAGTCTCCCATCAACACCGTGTAGTGGGTTTTGGAGGAATGCATGGATCTGAAAATATTCTCATACATTTCCTCCACCTCCTCATCGGGATTTGCCGAGGTTGGTGCGTAAACCTGTATGACCTTCAGCGAATACCGTTTGGTGATTCTGAGTATCAGGTACGCGACCCTCGTCGACACACTCCCAATCTTTACAACGTTGTTGACGAGAGACTTGTGGATGGTAAATCCGACACCTCCTTGGGACAGATGGTCGCCCTCCCGGTGATAGAACAAGTCGCCGGACTCGAGGATTACCGTGTCCTCCCCCTCTCTTCGGACCTCAGATAATCCAATAATATGCCAGCGCAACTTGTCTACCTCTTCTTCCAGCTCCAGTATCTTCTCGTCAGTCCTCAGGGTGCGTGCGTTATACGTTGCCAGGTCGAGTCGTCGTAGGTGGCAACCGAACCTCCACCGGAGATTCTTAGCACCCCCTGCCCCGCCGTTTCCATGGTCGCCACCGTAGCCAGGAATAGCGGGGACGCCGGGGACTGGGGGCCGTTTATTTGTGTCGTTGCTCATGGGGGGATATTTGCCATAGTTGCCACGCTTGGCGAGCGGGTTGGCAACCGCAGTTTTTTATTATGTTATTGTTGTTATTAGGAAGATGCTGCTGCCCATCTCCTTTCTGTGTCCCTCTGTCGCCTCTTACGACACCCACGTGAAGATATGGGGTAGTGGATATTCTCAACCGCCACTACACGGCTAAAAA